TCCGAACTGTAACATCACGTAATTAGTGATTAGACGTACACGAGAAAACAAAAATTTGACGGGCTTCGAAAGTGCAATTAAGGGAAAATTATTTATTATCGTAAGTCTTTTTTTATTTATTTACAAAATTCGATTCCGTAGATGAACTTGATAGAACGTTTTTATAGAAGTTATTACTTTCAAAAATTTTTCTACATTTTCAAAATATCACATCGTTACAAAAGTTGCGTGTACATAAAGAATAATGTCTGTAATTTCTATTTTCTTCATATTTACGCAATTGTACAGAAAAAAAGGACATTCTTGTTTTGAAAATATATTTTAACATAGAAATCTTGAATGATATTGCGTTAATTAAAGAAAAATAATAATTGCTTGCATAATTGCTTACTTGAATGAAGCCATTTTATATAGTTTAATCAAGAAAAATATATTCTTGTGATTTAAGATTTAATTTTCTTGGATGGAAAAGAAACAATGTTGAATAGAAAATAACATTTTTAATGATTATAATTTTCTTAAAGTAGAATCAAATAATTATATATTCCTGACAATTATAATATTAAAATAAGACTATAATATTGTTGAAATTTAAAATTATTAAATTCTTCTAAGAAGATTATAAATTGTTGCGTATATACGAAACAATGAACGCGTTAGTTTAAATATATAAGTTTTGATTTGATATTTAATTTTTTCTGTGTTTACTCATGTCATCATCATTTAATTATTTAATCATTATTTAATTATTCTTTCAAATTGTTTTTAATTAATGATGAATATTAAAAAGATTTCTTATCTAATATACATTTTTCGATAAATTATCTCTATTTTTCTTCTTATTCTATGTTTAATTATATAATGCACAAACAAGTTATTTATTGATGAAATAACATTACTCATATCTTGATTTAAAATTTACATTGTTAAACGATTATGATTCTTTTTTCTCTTTTTATATAATTTATACAAATGTAGATTTTTTCAATCATTCAATTATATGTGTATTATATATGTTCAATTATATATATTATTAAAATCTACAACAAACAAATGAATATTTTATATTAGCAAAAATGAGTCTAAAGGAAAGACAAGGAGAGAGAAAATTGATGAGGAAATTACATAAATTTTAAATATATTTTTATTAGATTTTATATTTGTTTTTGTATATATTTTTACTCAAAATATCCTAAGATGATTTACAAACAATTTCTTTTTAACGAAAATATTGAAATAAGTCATCGTTTTTCACGCATTCACAAATAATATTTTATCATCAACATATTTAGAATGAAACCTTTGCCCAAATGAAGGCCGCGCGAAATTAATTGAAAAATATCATCCATTTTTTCTTTAAAGTTTAATTTGTCGGAAGTCTCTTTTACTTTTAAAAACTAAAGTTCTCGTTGAGTATCTTCCTCTCCACGTATTATTTATATAAGCAAAAAAATATTGTGATACATTACATAAATTTTGAATATATTTTTATTAGATTTTATATTTTTTTTGTATATATTTTTACTCAAAATATCCTAAGATGATTTACAAACAATTTCTTCTTAATGAAAATATTGAAATAAGTCATCGTTTTTCACGCATACACAAATAATATTTTATCATCAACATATTTAGAATGAAACCTTTGCCCAAATAAAGGCCGCGCGAAATTAATTGAAAAATATCATCCATTTTTTCTTTAAAGTTTAATTTTCCGGAAGCCTCTTTTATTTTTATAAAAACGCTAAAGTTCTCGTTGAGTATCTTTCTCTGCACGCATTATTTCTATAAGAAAAAAAAATATTGTGATACATACCGGTTCCGCGTGCCTGCTGCTCCTGGACAAGTTTAGGATAACGAGTGGAAAGTCCACTGACGAATTCATGCTCAGGAAAAACATACAGTTATTGGTCGCGTAAACTCAAGCAGGGGTCTGTTGAGCCGTAAAATGGGGATTAGCCCATTTAGTATGATTCTAACGACAGTATTAGACTTATCCTCTATACTGTCCAGGTAAAGCACAGGAGACCCCTCTCGAGTCCGCTCTCCTGGGGTACGCTTGATCTCCGCGCGGGAGGTCTCCTGAATCATATAGACGAGCGAGTGGCACGACGCCGGTCCACTTCTTCGTAAAACGTCCACGTCCGTGAAACTGTCTCCCGGTGGTGCATATCCGCGTTGCTTTCGTCGAAAGCCGAAAGAGACGTAGCTTCCGTTGTCTCGCGCGTTTGTGATATTGGTGCGTCCGAATCTTGGCCGTGTCCAGAGAGTTGAACGCCCGACAACACGTATCACATATCGGCCGCAAATTATACTACACCGGCATAATTTAATTTGGAGTTATCATCGATCTCGAGCATCAAAAATATGATCCAGTAAGTCGCGTTAGAGATTTGAAATTTCTTACATTATTCTTTCGATAAATATTAAATGAAGAAAAAAGACGATATTTTTAAAGTACTGAATATAAATATTAAATACAATATATATATATAATTAAAGTATCTAATCTTTTTATAATTTTGGAACTTGCTCGATTGATACTTTAATCGCATGTGCCTCTTACTATTAAAAATGACATAGGATTGCTTAAATATCCTTGAAATTCCTAAGTAGCTTTAATGACTACGGACATTACGGGCATTCAAAGAACACTTCAAGATGATGTTTTCTTGTAACGGGAAAGCTAAATATAAAGATAGTTTTTCCGTTACAACAAATGTTATACAAATTTTGTGCGTTTTGAACATTATTTTGCCACTGTTCATTACGGTATGATACGTTCGAAAACTTTATGATCTGAAATAAAAAACTAACAATTACTTGCACGTCATTACATTTATCGTTACGTAGTTAAAATAAAAAGAGATAAAATTAACGAATAAAAAATTAAAGTATTCATAAGATTAGATCAGTACTTTTACACTTTTGTTCTACGGAAACCAGAAGCATGTTTCATAAGTATTCTTTGAATCTTGTCTGACAAATACATTTTTCTGTAATTTTTTTATTAAGTTTGTATAATTTTATAAGATATTTTTATTAGAAAATAAATTTATTATTAATTTAATAATATATTTACGTAATTTATATTCTAAAATTAATTTAATACATTAAAAATTAATTTAAAATATAAAATTAATTTAATACATATATTAGTGTTAAACTCTCGTGTGTGTCACGTGGTTAGATATACATAAATATTTTATGTAAAAGCTTGAATATAATCTTGAGTACAATGAACAATTTTAATATTTAAAAATATTAGAGAGGATATATTGAAACATATATATATGTTTATGTTTAAAAATTAAATTAAAAATTATTCATATGTGTGCGTGTATATACTTTGTGCGAATACATAGTTATATTATTGTATACATATTGTATACATATTATTGTATACATATATAAAAGAAAGATGTATTCTATAAATATAATTCTTTCTGTCAATTGTTCTAATATTTAAAGTCATTTCTTTGAAAAAATCATTAAAAAAATTGTATTAGATTTATTTGGATTCGCGACAAAGTTAATGTTTGTAATAATAGAAAGATGATATTGTGGCACAATTGCAAGTAATAATTTTGTTTTTATACTACAGTGATGCTGGCGCAGGTATGCGTTGTGCTAAATTCGTAAAACTATGATGTATTATGTTGTAAGAGAGATTTCGACATTGCACATCGGCGATTTGAAACGCCAAGTGCAGTTTTTACATCCATGTACGGCAATTAAATGAAATTCACGTCTCACACGAATTCTTTGCGAAAGAATTAATAATTATTCTGTTGAGTCATATGTGTTAAAATATTTATCATTAATATGGATATTAAATTTATGGGATATTAGGGAAGAAAATTTAATTTGAAAGTTTGAGATTATTAAGAAAAGATATATTTTCTTTAAAAATAAAATTTCAAATTAGATTTTTCATATTTAATATTACTTTTCAAAAAAATTGTACATGATATTACTTCGAAATTTTTCGTATGAAATTTATAAAGATTAAAATTTATAAAGATACATGATGTGAAGGAGATTGAAAAATCGTGATAAATTACGATTATCATCATGATTGAGGAAAAATTCCATTTTGCTTTAATTGTATGTATATTGCATGTGTGCAGCATTCAAATGCATTAGAAGTGAGATATTCCGTATGAGGTAAAATTAATTTCGTTTCATTATTGACGTTAACGTAGAGAATGTCAAATACAAACGAAGATTGTTGGAACTCGGTTAAACTTAAGCAATAGCCTTTTCATGATTTCCTCTATTTCTAAAAATCAATTATGTGAGAAATCCATGATCATCTGAACATATGTAGAAGTCAGAAATATAATAGTCGGAAATATAGCATCATCGAGAAACCGGAAGAGCGGTATTAAGTTAATTGCTCTAATTAAAAGGCTGGTAACTTTTTATTTGACATGAATAAAAAGACATTAAAAATATATTAAGATAACACTTTATCTTAACGAATTAAAATAATTGTATTTGCTTAAATGCTTATGTACATGAAATGATTTAAAAAAAAGGCAAGAAGTAGAAATAAATTTAAATCTTTTCGGATTTAATTTCGCGAAAATTATTAATTTAGTATTATCTTTTCAAATTTTTTGCACAATGAATTAAATACACATACCATGTTTGAAGTTAAATTTAGATTTATAAAGCGCCACATGTGTTAAATGCTTTATACGCACGCATTACATAAGTCACACTGCACAGACACACAATATCTTCAATTTATTCTTCAATTTATTATTATTATTATTATTATATTATTATTATTATTTATATTAATATATATTTATTATTATTATTTAATCTTCAATTTATTTGCGTATATCGGTTACTTTTATCGAGAAGTTTTATTTTTGTAATTTGTTCTGTAACTCTAATTAGCATAATAATGTATGTGATGAACTGAATTTACATGTTACATATGTCTGTGATCTTTTCTTGAATTATAAAACAGAATTCTTGTTTTGCAGAACGAGAATGATAATCTGGAATGTGTTCCTTATTTCGCTTCAACTGATCATTCATGAAAGCCGATCAGGTGAGTCCAATTTTTTTTCATATTGTACCTTGGTCTTTTTAATAATCGCATTTAATTGCATTTAATTGTACTTTTATTTTTATATATCTAATTTGCTTTTAATTTTCCCTTATTAATTCTAGTTTATAAGAAGCGAAGTTTTTCGAAAAAAATATATACAGGATGTCCCAAAAGTCCCGGACCGGTCGAATATTTCATAAACTATGCACTTTAGAAAGAAATGTTTCAGACAAAAGTTATATGGCTTGAAGGGGGCCATCAAATAGTGCAATGATTTGATATGGGAGAGTCATTTGAAAGTGAGTAAAGGTCACTTTCAATTTCTGCATAGTTTATGAAATATTCGACCGGTCCGGGACTTTTGGGACACCCTATAAAAGAAAGAAAAGAGAGATCGAAGCACTTTTTAAATATTTTATAAATGTTTATCTGAAAACATATTTTATTGAAAATAAAAACAAAGTTCAGGTAAAGAGGAACAACTTTTAAATCATTATATATTGATTTTAGAAATAATAATAACGGCATACGACGACTTCGGTTTGTCGCCGATCGATCCGGAGATCGCTGACGTCATCGATTGGAAACGACATGCGTGTCGGCGAACATGCAAGGATGGCGCGGCACCTCTGGACTGTTATTACACTTTCAAGCTGGAGTTTTATTACGCGATGAGCAAAGCTTGTTACAACTGCCCCTTCAATATCACGGATTGCTTTCGACCTCATTGCATCCCGGCGGATGGCATAAAGCGATCTCTCTTGGTCGTGAACCGGCAAATGCCGGGTCCAGCGATCGAGGTGTGTAATCGAGCTGTTGGATTGCGAGACAAGTTTGACGAGGCTTTTAATCAGAGATCATTTGAGTGTCTATTTTTATCCGTTCTGTTTTTATCTTTATTTATTCTTTTTTATTTTTTTAAATTGTTAAATATTGAGAAATGTACAAGATTGAGATATTAATTAGCAGATAATTTACAAGATTAAGGTATTAATCAGCAGATAATTTAAGCAGATTTTTTAATACTTGTGTATCTGGTATTTATTATTCTATAAAATATTTTATATTTTATAAAATAGTTTTATAAAATATTTTATATTTAAATTTAATATATTATATTTATAAATAATTATATTTAATATTTTATATTTTATAAAGTATTATTTTATAAAATGACCTAAGTCTTGTATATTTTCGGTTACTTTTTATATTTTTAAAATTTCGCTACATATTATTTTAAAAAATTTATTCAAGAACAAATTCACGTAAATCCAAGCTTATCGTAAAAATCAACTTATTATTAATCAATGTTACTAATATATGAGTAATGCAAAGTTAATATATATAACCAGGTAGCAGAGTGACATCAAATGACTAATATATAAGTAATGCAAAGTTAATATATATAACCAGGTAGTAGAGTGACGTCAAATGACATCTAAATGACGTTTTAATAACGTTATTGTACGTCATTAAAACGTCTGGAGACGTCATCTTGCTACCTGGGAACTTTTCTTCACTAATATATAATTTTTCTATTTTTTCTGTGTTATTATTTGATAGGCTAAATTTGTGTAATTCATTCAATCAAGTGAAAAAAAGATTACGATTCGCCGCTTCGTTTATATTATTTCGAGGAATTTGAACATAATTATCACTCATGTTTCCGTTTCGCAATTATAGAATGATATCATGAAAGCTGGGATTCATTTCTAAATTCAGGCTTTAATTAATATATCTTTGTGGTGAGATTACGTGATAATTGTTTAATATGATTCTAAGGAATCATTCGGAATTTTTTCCATTTATTCACTCAGCTATTTTATACATATTTGCTGGTTTTGTTTCGCGATCATTGTACATTTTATTTTTACTGCAGTTATCAACTATAAAAATAGAATTGTTTGCAGCTTGCTCGTAATTGACTCACGTGTCGTATCACTTTAATCATGGATTACAGATAACGAAGGCTGAGACTCTTTACGTAAGCTTTCCACAGATATGTTGCGAGTCTTATGTTAGACTATTAATTAAAAATATCGAGAATATTGGGAAAAAATTATTTTAATTATAGGTATGTCAAGGTGACAGGATAATAGTGGATATGATCAACTTGTTACACTCGGAGAGCACTACGATGCATTGGCACGGCCAGCATCATCTCGCCACGCCGTATATGGACGGTGTACCCTATGTATCCCAATGTCCCATTCCTCCTGGAGCGACTTTCCGATACAACTACATTGCCAGTGAAGCTGGGACGCATTTCTGGCACTCTCATATAGGTGCGTTTGAACTTTCGTTAAACAAGTATTGTTGTATCAAGAATATTTTCAACAGAAAATTCAGGAAAAAGAAAAATTTTGCTTATAAATTCAATAATTCATTCGATTGTATAATAATTAATATAATATTTTATTGCAAATTTTTGCCCCCATAGGATTCCAGAGAGGCGACGGTGTATTCGGATCGTTAATCGTTCGTGTACCTCCTAAAGTCAACTGGCACAAGGATCTGTATGACTATGATGAGCATATTCTAGTAGTCGCCGATTGGGTTCACGAATTGGGTCTCACTAAATTTTTAGCGCATCATCACTCGGATGGTCATAACAAAGCGCCCAACTTACTTATAAACGGCCTGGGCCGTTTCATCGCTATCGAAGGTGAAAACAAGACATTAGCTGAAATGCCTATTTCGACATTCGTCGTAAAATCGGTAAATTTTTATCATTTTGCTAATTTTTGTAAATATGCATTTATAAAAAATTACAAGTATAAAAACTATAAATATATTTGATTAAGGATGTTTTGTACCTATTTTCAAAATATTGAGAATTTAATATCCTTACATATGTTTAGAATCTTGAGTATAATTTTTAAATCGATTCACTAAAGCGTTCACAAGTTATAAGGATTTTAATTTGCACCGAATTAACATGTGTTCTTATGGGAAATGTATAACCACATCGATTCAAATGACAAAAACACATGGAAATAATATTCAGAATTTGTTTAAAATTCGCAAAAGTTTAGATACAGAGGAAATATTTGGTCAAATAATATTAGTACTAACTGGTTAAAAAAATATTAAATATAATTCAATGAAGTTAGCTATGTATCTGTCACAAGAGGAAATTCTCTGCCAAAAGTTAATTATTTCGATTAACAAAATTCGGAATATTTCAGTAAAAACGCAATAAATATTAAGAAATACATCTCTGCACTGTAGCTAAGATCAAATTGTAATATTCCACACAATTTCTCATATTCAAAATACACTAAAAGTAGATATTCGTCAATATTGATTTTCAACTATTTGCTGGGATTGTACAAAACATTTTTAAAACTAAATTAAAGAAACGATATATATATATATATATATATATATATATATGTATATGTATATATATATTTCATCTAGCTTGGTTAAAATATTTATTCCACTTGAAAAAAAGAAAAATGTCTCACATTAAAGTAAATCTGTTTTGAAATGTTATCATGGGCATAATTTTATCCTAAATAGTTTTCAAGTTTTGAGTACATCAGCTTTATTTTTTATTTTTGAATAAAATTACATAATTTTTGTATTCATAGCAATCGATTTTACGATTTACGCTTGCAGAATTTCCGATACAGATTCAGACTTATTAACGCGGAGTTCCTGAATTGTCCCATTGAAATTTCCGTCGACAATCATACTTTATATGTGATCAGTTCAGACGGACGTGATGTTGGACCGATACAAGGTATGATTTTATTTTCATATTACGTGCCACTTATTATTTTTACACAAGATCAGTAATTGAGTTTTAATAAGCATCGCGAAAATTGCGAACAATTTTGCTCAAACATATCGATGTTATAAATAAGATTATATAATAAAATATTTAACACATTTAAAATACTGGTTAAATGAATAAAATTGTTTATTAATATTTCATGATAATTATTATTTATTAATATCCATGATATTTATAAAAGTTAAGTATACATCGTTTCTTTTAAACCAGTTGATGCGATAATTATTTATTTTAATAATCAAAAATATTAAAAAGTGTTGTAATTATTTTTACTCATACACAAAAAAAATTATTTTAATTTAATTTATTAAATAAAATGAGAACACACACAAAATTGATTATACAAAAATTGTAACAGAATTTCTAACGTGTATGATATGAAGCAAGATATACATATAAATATATTAAGTATAATTCGCGAAATAAGTATAATAAAAAAAAATTTTCATGTTAAAAATGCTTATATATATTGCACAATGATTACAGCCGAATCGCTAGTGAGTTACGCCGGCGAAAGGTTCGACTTCATAATCGAAATGGACCAACCGGTGGACAACTATTGGATGAGATTTCGAGGACTGATGGATTGCGACGAGAGATTTCTGAGCGCCTATCAAGTCGCCTTACTTAGATATGAAGGAGCGCCTGAGGAAGAGCCGGCGGTGGAAGTTACATATAATCGCGTGCAAAATGATTCTTATGGATTGGTATGTGTATAAACGTCTTCGCGATCTCCTCCAAAATTATTTTACGGGAGATTTTAAAAATGACAATGTTTCCGGTTTCAGCAAGTGAATGCTCTGAATAAAGGAATCGAATCAAATAATAGTATCAGTATCCCAATGTTGATTGCGATGGACGACGATGACGTGTCGAATACCAAAGAACCGGATTATCAGTTCTACATATCGTATGATTTTTATGGGAAAGATAACCCGCACTTTAATCGCAAGAATCTATATGGTTTTCATCAAGGTACAGTCCCAGTCCCAGTTCAAATCCCAGGTAGAACATGAAACTCATAATGACATTATTATGACGTCATCATGATTTTATTCATCACTTAAAAGTTACTTAAACAAAAATGATTAAAAAATGAGTTAAAGATGACAAAAAGAATTATAAATTTTTAAGTTCAATAATTGCATTATATAATTTTAAAAGATTATGTTGCTTAAATATAATTAAAATATACATGAATAATTAAATAAACAAGTAATTGCGTAATATATATATGTAAAAAATGATTATTGATATTAATAAATCACCAAATGATATTAATAAATCACCAAAACACCAAATGATATTAATAAATCACCAAAACATTGCCAAAAGTATATCAAATGAGATCATTATGATTTTTCTAAAAATGTTTAGGTGACTTTTAGATGACGTCATAATGATATCATTATGAGTTTCATGTTCTACCTGGGAATGTTATTCTAAGTAACTTTTTTAAGATCTACTTGCAATCATAAAGACTCGATGACTTATGTTTTTCTCGGTGAATGAAATATATACAAATGTAAGCTTTGTATTGATATGTTTTAATGATGTTGGAAAATAATCCATACATACATTCCGCTTTTAAGTTGCCTTTGAATTTTTCTCATCTTTATGATACAGACCATATCTGAAATTTAGATAACAATCTTGTGAATTTGTCTGGTGGAAGATAAATATATCCATTTATCGAATCATGTCCATAAGAAGAGCGAAAATAATCATTAGCAGTGAAGTTAAATGTATAGTGTGAAGTGTAATGAATAATAATCTCGTTATGATTCCTGCACAGTCTACATCAAAATCGCAAAATCAATTCGAAATCAATACAGTTTTTGACTATTGACAATAAGACACAAGATCTATTCTGATAATGCAATACTATTAATTTCTACTCCATTTGATAGCTTTAATCTGTGGAAAAGCATATTTCAACAGTGTATCATTGATTTTCTTTTTTCAGAGAAATAATAAATATTATCTTGATCAACGTAATACGTTAACAATAAAATAAATATCTTGATCAACGTAATACGTTAACAAAATAAATATCCAGTTTTAAATTAATTAAAAATGTTTTTCTCTCTTCTTGTTTTAAATATGATACACTTATTTTTTCTGTACACTGGTACAGAATACATATTGTACAAAATACATATTTATGCAATATTTTAAATTTATATCAGTCACATATATTAAGATATAATTAAATACATAAAGAGATATAAATTTGTTAAAAGAAAAGTAAAACTTTCCAATCCTGTGTATACTTTTTCAGTAATATACAATATAGTATAAAAAGTATCTATTACAAATTTATTCTTTCAAAAATCTAAATTATTTGTTTTGTAAAACATTTTTTCTTCTTTTTTTAGTAAAGGATATAAGACAGAAATTATTCACACCGCAACTAAATCACATATCAATGAAGCTACCATCATTTCCACTCATGCCCGAAAGAAATCTTATAAAGCCGAATCAGTTTTGTAACTCCAGCACGGTCGAGGGATGCGAGAGTGATTACTGCGCTTGTACTCATGTACTCCAGGTGAAAATTAACAGTGTAGTGGAACTGATTCTGATTGACGAAGGTACACGAGCATCTCCTCTTACAAGTATCCTTTTTCTCCGTAAACTTTAATTTGTCTAATAAGTAATGACCTTTGTTTAGGTGTTCCGTATGACGCGAATCATCCGTTTCACCTTCACGGTTACCAGTTCCGCGTTGTGGCGATGGAGAAGATAGGAAGTAACATTACGGCCGCTAAAGTAAAGGAATTAGATAAGCAAGGTTTAATAAATAGGAGACTCACGCGAGCACCTTTGAAGGACACGGTGACCGTGCCTGATGGTGGTTACACCATTGTGCGATTTCACGCTGATAATCCAGGTAAAACCTCGCGGAACTCTTGCATATTATTAAAAAAAAACTGAAAAGAATAGAGCCAGGGAATAATCGAAGTACTTGCTTTAAAAATATCGCATCGAGAGATAAATTACGTTAAAAAAGAAGATTCAACTTTAAACTCGAGAAATATTAAACTTTTACACGTGAGCACAAAAAATAACTTAATAAATGAAATTATACAATGCTAAAATAATGACTTTGTATTTTGTTTTATTATAATTTTATTATTGTATTTTATTTAACTTTAACATTTATAACTAATTGAATGTGAAAAGAAAATTTAATTAAACTTGTAAATCTTAATAATTAATAATAAAATATAATATTAAAATATAATATAATAATAAAAAATTCTTTAATAAAATATAATATTTAAAATATAATATATATTATATATATATATATATATATATATATATATATAAAATATAATATATATTATAAATATATAAATATAATATATTCTTTAATAAAATATAATATTTATTTTGAGATTGATTGAGAAAAAGATACACATTATTGATTCTTTATACATATTTTTCAGGATACTGGCTGGTTCATTGTCACATTGAATTTCACGCGGAAATAGGAATGGCCTTGATCTTCAAGGTAGGTGAAAACGAAGAGATGCCGCCAGTACCTCGTAATTTTCCTAAATGCGGGGATTGGAAATTGACAGATGATCAGAACGAAGGTAACTCGGAGATCACTACAAATTCAACGACAATCGATAAAGAGGAATCAGAAGAACACAATCATCTCATAGATAGACTAGACCATCTTCTGAAATATCTTGAACAACTTTTGAAATTACAAATGAAATCTTCGGCGTCCAATTCGAGTATAACATTAATCCTTTTTGTCGCTTGCATTCTGAGTTCTGTGATTCGCGCGCGCTCTTTATGATACACATGTAATAGTAATAATAGATTACAAATATAATTAATATAAGGAGTATTTGCACGCAAACAAAACAATTTAAATAGACTAATAAGACAATAAAATGCGCCAGAATGAAGAGTAATAAGTAATGGACGTTTTTTTTGACGTAACTAAGTATTATAAAGTATTAATATATCTATATTAAAAAATTAATATTTATAAACAATATATAATATTTATGTTTTTATCGATAATCATGAAATATTTTGTAATGCGATCGCGCGAAGTTAACGAATTTGAGATTGAAATTTTAAAGACATACTACAGACAGCTATATTGTATATTAATCTCAAATAAGTAAGCGGACATTATATCAACAAGTCAAGTGACTTACATTACTGTGATAAAAAAAGTATATTATTATTATTTTATTGTTACTAGACTATCTTCACTAATTTCACTACGCATACGAAATGTCCCGTTTTGATACTCCTATTAATTTTATTGTCGAATCAATTTTCTTCGTGAAGTAACTTTTTTTTCTCTGTAAATAATAATAATGTAATTTACGATTTGAAAAAGAATTTGCGAATTAAATTTCAGAAGAAAGCAATATATATATACTCTTAAAATCTAGATTATATTTCAATTAACCAACTACGAGTTAAAAAATCCGTCATTAAAAAGTAATCCCAATAGAAACGGGACATCTTAGAGAATGAATGCGGGAGATGCATTGTTGCAGTTATGTCACTCGATCACATATTGTATATATATATGTAATCACATATTGTTATATTTATATACAAAATAATAAATAAATATATATTTATATATATATATATATATATTATATATATTATTTTTATATATTTATATATTATTTTTATTATATCATTCAATCTCTAACGTAATCAATAGATTTTGTATTCGCGTTATCAGCAGAATGAATGTATGTTTCTTTACACGAATGGATGAAAATGTTTGCATGTATATTTATATCGAGTATATCATTTTAAATATGGTATTATTCGATAAAAGTTCTTATCTTAAAAACTATTAGTATCTCGACACTTTTATTAAGAAAAACTGACATATATTTTGTAATATTTATAGAAATAATTGAAGATTACAGTATTTATTGTATTATAAATTTATTGTATAAGAAAATATGGAAAATCTGTTTGCCTGAATTCGCAAAACTATTGTAATCGATACGCCAACTCAAATTGTGCAAAACAAATCCACACAAAATCTAATAAATTCCTACACAAAATCGAATATACTTTCAATATAATTGATACCATATTATTTATTTTGTTTATCCGCGTGTATGTATATATATACACATATATACTTATAACATTTGATATTATTTATCAATATAATTTTTTCATGAATTTGCGTTATAAACTTGGAATCCTTATGCACTGAGTATTCCTTAATGGAGATTCTCACAATTATCACGGTAGTCATGTTGTTTATTTTATCAGGAGAACCGTGTATTAATATCCAGATATGGATGGATTGATCTATTATTTTTTTCTAAATATCAATTTTCTTTCTCTCTCTCTCCTCATATTTGTTTAGAAATGCATATATCAGTAATTATAGCATTCGCACAGAAGCATGTCGTGCGATATGCGATACTCAAAGACGTTGTTATTTCTGCTGCAAGAAACATGTGCCGGTATTTGGAAGCGACGAAACAGCGCATATTCTTTTATAGAGATCGAATTTGTAATTTGTAATAAGTGCAATAATTAGGGTAAATTGTGAATCAAATACCACAAACCGGTTTTTGCTCGAGCTTCAAAATACGTAATACTGTTCTGTGAAATCATTATTTAAATAACAAACAAAATGTCTTACGTACTTATGTTCCTTTTTCTCATAACTTTGAATAATTTTCATTCATTATATTTGTGCGAAGAATTTGGGATTAAAATCAAATAAAAGTAATTAGAAAAATTAATATGTAATAGACCTATCATATTCGTACTAAACAATATTACCTGTAATGGACAAATTTTGAATATTAATTCAAGCATAAACGCTATATATAAATTAAGTGACAAATATAAAATAAGAATCGGAACATATTTTTCTTTATTTTTCTATATTTTTCTGAAATTATTGAATGGATTTTTAAGATGCTTTTTCTATTTATTATGATGAAAATAAATGTTACAATAGATATAAAATCGCGTGATAAAGAAATTTATTGCACACTATCGTAAAACATATATATATATATATATATATATATATATATATATAATATATATAATATATATAAAATATATATAAAATATATATAATATATATAATATAATATATATATATATATGTATATATGTATATATATGTATATATAAACATATATTTATAACATTTATGATATTTAGCAATATAATTTTTTCATGAATTTGTAAATAATATCACATATCGTATGTACGTAGTTATTTCTAAAAGCCATAAAAAATATCTTATATTAAGTGAAATGTGTATTATTTGCAATTTTGAGACGCATTTAGAAAAATTGGTAGTAATTACATTTATACACACATTAAGTCTAATTACACCTTATATAAAAAAAACATTAATTCGTCTCTTTATCTATATTTAGAGATTTTGAACACAGTTTGTTCTCCTCCTATCACTAAATTCTCAAAGATCTCAAGAAGAATTTTCCTGATTTTTTACTTCTTGAGATAATAACCGTCAGAAAAGTTGATACAAAAACTCCAACAGGCAATTCAATTGGCAATTTAGAGATGACAGAAAAGTCGCAAGTCAATGAAACTCTTTAAATGCAAAGTATAATCCATATTATCACGTAATTTCCTACAAGAATATACAATCCGGAAAAGCCGCGAAAATTGGTGTTTGTAATTGAAGCTTCGCGTATACGGAGAACACATTGGTACCGCTACTTCGCAATTGGACGAAAATGCTGGAGGGACAAGAAGAAAACTATGCCAATTGACGTGCGACTTCTGTCAGAAGTTCAATTCACACAGGAGTTCTCAATAAGCACAAGAGGAAACATACTGGCGACCAGTCTTACACATGTAACGAATATCAACAAAAATTCTCATATGCATCTAATCTCATCAGACATCAACAAACGCATTCCAGAATAAGGCCATTTTTCTGTCAAATCTGCGGGCGCACCTTTACTTGAAAAGCTTTCCGCTTTAACAGCAAAGCGTTGTATCACAAAGTTTTGAAATCTTTGTTCAAGATGTGATAATATAAGATGTAATACAAATCACAGCAACAAAGTGATGTCCTGTAATAACATAGAAATCAGATAGAAACAATTTTTTTTGTAAAGAGAATAAGATAGAATATTTTTTAAAATAACATTTTTTAGTTATAGAGTATCTCCTTTTAGATTTTAGAATCAATACTTGCTACAAGATATATTTGATTTGTAGGACTAATTTAGAAATCTATATACAAAAATAATATTATTTATTTTGCAATAGTTTGAACAATAATGTATAATGCACAACCATACTTTTGTTTCTTATATAATTTCATCGACGAATAAAAATTGCTGGAAATGTGTTACTAATTAAATATAAACTCTACATTTCTTTGAAATTACATGACGATGCCAATAAAAAAATTTGGAAGAAATATACGAACCTTTCAATGAAAATAAATAATGCAAATATACACAGCATTCTATACATTAGTATGCACTTCCTGTGCTGTATTTGAAATAAAACTATAAAAAGCATCTTTCTGCAGTGGACGTTGCAGCGGATGCGCCAAGAGTTTTGCCATATTATCGTGCAGCTTAGCAGGATTTCTGCCGACTTCTAAGATATAAGAATAACTTGTAGTATCTAGAGCCGCGATTTCGGCGTATACCGCCTCGCACATATTATCATCGCTGGCTGGTTCGTGAACGAATAGCACGTCCAAGAAGAAACACGGATTTCCTGTCAAATTTTCCAGATACTTGTGACCAGTATGAAACTTGGGAATAGAGTTTGATCGTCCATAGATCAAGATGACACGCGAGACGAAAATTGGCTGATTCATCGCTGGTATCGCTATTCGCGCGTGTATCGCCTCGAACAACTGTCCTAGATCGTAGGTCTTTTGCTCCTCGTCCAGCACATCCTCCGTGATGCTCTCCAGGTGATTGACCACTGTCTTAATGTTGCTGGTATAGTCGCAGAGCCATGACGCACCCTGCGAACCCAGACTCATCAGGGCGTACTCGTGTACTCCGGGTTGTATTGTTGATTTTGCACCAACAAAGCTCTCGACAACGCGTCTTATCATGTACAATGGTGAGAACGTCGCTCCAGTGCCAAGCTTGAAAGGCGTGCATTGCTGCTCTCGGACTGTATCAATAACAAAAATAATCTTTTCGGGCAGATTGAGCTCGGGAATATTCCTCACCAGGACACAATTGTCCAGCGTGGTAGTGGTAGTCTTAGTGATAGCGGAGCAAGACTTTCTGACGTCCCCAGGTTGAACTAGAATAGAATAATAAGTACAAATAAAATAAAAAAATAAATAATAAATATAAATAAAAATAAATAATAAATGTAAACATAAATAAATATTAATAATAAATATAAATATAAATAAATAATAAATATAAATGACGTGTCGCACCATTATTACTGTTTTTCCGCGAGCCTTTTCCCTGTTGTTGTTGCACGTTATTGTGCGCGGAATCTATGGTCGTGGCGACCTGCAATCTCTCGGATATCACCTCGATCTCGTCGTTTGATTCTTTATCTGACATATTTATATCCTAAATGTTTAGCGTAGCGAATAAATGGAATTTTTTCTTTGCTGTTCCAAGCCTGGCTTTGTGACTTTTCTTCACTGAATACGTTGTCCGAATTGATCGGAACCAAAGCGACTTGGAAACCTCACATAGCGCGTTAGGTTTCGTCGCGTAATATTAAATACTTCAACTCAGATAACTTTGAAAATTATTATTAGCGATCATAAAGGTATCAATAAGCGTAGCACGATATTTTCACCGATTTGCCTGCATCCTTGCAAGCCCATGCGAGTAGACTTGTCCATTGAATGCAGTGACGTATGATACGAAGTCAATGATTCGAAATGTACGCGCGACTAAAATTGTCCAAATAAATTACGCGCATGCGTAAAAAAATCGGCCAATCAAATATGAAGAAACTAAATTTTTTATTAATCTATAATGCACGTTGGTTGATTTTTCTCAATATTTTTTAAAAAGAATATTTTCCAATATATTCAAAATAAATAATAAATATATAATAATAATAAATATAATAATAATAATAATATAAATATAATATAATAATAATAATATAATAATAATATAACAATAATAATAATAATAAATATTATAATAATAATATGAATATATAATAGTAATAATAAATATAAACATAAATAAATATTAATAATAATAAATATAAATATAAATAAATAATAAATATAAATAAAATAAAATAATAAAATAATAAATCGAGGTAAAATAATATATTAATATTAGAAGTTGTCTGGCCGCATAAAATAAATTTACACCTCCTCCTCCTCGATTTTTATTTTACTTCTCCACTTCCCCACCTCGATTTTTACTTTCATCGTTATCGTATCGAATCGTTATCGTGTCATAACATTATCGTAACATTACTAGATTTTCCGATGTAATTCGACGCTGATTGACCGGATCTGAAAGTAGAAACCAATCACGTTAGATTGCTATTTAGCAGTTGAGTCCGCTGAATGCGGCCATTGGTTTCTACTTTCAGATCCGGCCAATCAGCTTCGAATTACATCCGCTGAATGCAGCCATAATTTAAGGATATCAACGATCAACGTTGATCATTAAAGGGAGAGAAAGGTACGAGTACACACGTGGTAAAATATAGAATCCTTTTTGTAATTAGAACAAAAAAAAATGTCTGAGAAATTCCTGATGCAAAAAATTAAGAAAAGGGAAAGGACAAAAGTAACGAAGCTAAAACAACGGGAAGAACAAAAAGGTAAGAGAGTGGCAATCTTCGAGGTTACTCGTGAGGCAAAGACTGTTTCAAAGGAATTTGTTCACATTTATTTATTTTCAAAATGTATACAACCTTTTTATTTGACTGATAATTATTATATAATTTTGATTTGAAATAATCATTTATTTAAGCTGAAAGTCTCTCTCTTTGTCAGTTACATTTTTTTTTAATATTCCTCTACTATTATTTATTTTAAATAATAGTTATTTCTATTACAGATGTAATTGGAGAGAATAAAACTGAAAATCAAAAAGACATGGAAGAAAAAATTCCTCCCGAAAGTAAGACTTAATTTATTCTATTTTCATATAAATAATATATAATCTATTCTATTGAGAAACTTCTAATATTATTTGTAAATTAGTTATTGATATTTTTACTTTTATTATATTTATTATATAATTATTTATTAATATATATATTTATTTATGCATATTAGAAAAAAGAAAGTTATCTCAACAGTCGGAGGATCCTACTGAACTGACTGAGAATTGTATGTACTTTTAATGAAATGATATTAAAGTTAAATATTATTCAATATTTCTTTAAAATTTTAAAAAGTGTATATATATTTATTTTTTATTTAGTACCAGGTACAGCTGTAGGTTTCGAAATATCAAATGATACAAGTTTCTCTGTTTTGAAAGAAAAAGTATGTGAGAATACTTTGAAAGGGATAGAAGACATGGGCTTTACAAAAATGACAGAGATACAAGCAAAAGCTATTCCACCTCTTCTAGAAGGGAGAGATTTAGTTGGTGCTGCTAAAACTGGATCTGGCAAGACTCTGGCATTTTTAATTCCTGCAGTTGAACTGATTTATAAGTTGAAGTTTATGCCTCGTAATGGTATGTAAACCACTCGGTAGAGTTTAAAATATATAATCTGTATCAGTATGATATTGAGAAATTTTTTTTCATGAATGATTTTTATGAATTTATTATATAAATAAATAATAATCATTGAAACCAATTCTGTTTAATGTATTTAATGTGTTCTAATCAATTTATATGAAAATAAATTAGAAAAATTAAATTTAAAATAAATAATAAAATAAATAACTAATAAATTTTCTTATATTGTCTCGTTTGTTCTAATTTGTATCAAATTAGAAAAGATAAAATGTAATATATTTATTATATATTTGTAGGTACTGGATGCATTATTATGTCTCCTACTAGAGAATTGTCTATGCAAACTTTCGGTGTCTTGAAAGAGTTAATGAAATATCATCATCACACATATGGTTTGTTGATGGGTGGTGCCAATAGACAAACCGAAGCACAGAAGCTTGAAAAGGGAATCAATATTATCGTGGCGACACCAGGACGATTGTTAGATCATTTGCAAAACACACCTGGTTTCCTGTACAAGAATCTTCAGTGTCTGGTGATTGACGAAGCTGATCGTATTTTAGATATTGGATATGAAGAAGAGTTGAAACAAATTATTAACATTCTTCCTAGTGAGTGATACACTACACTATACATTAAAATTAAATTGTTTATATTTTTTTTCATTACTATGTAAATCTATTATTGCAGAGCGTCGGTTGACAATGCTCTTTAGTGCAACACAAACGCCAAAAGTAACAACAATAACAACGTTAGCTCTCAAGAAGGAACCTATATATGTTGGAGTGGATGACAATAAGGAAATGGCAACCGTGGACGGTTTACAGCAGGGCTATGTAGCATGTCCGAGCGAAAAGCGATTTTTACTTCTTTTCACATTTCTAAAGAAAAATAAGAAGAAGAAAATAATGGTTTTCTTTAGTTCGTGCATGTCTGTCAAATATCATCACGAACTCCTAAATTATATCGACTTACCCGTAATGAGTATACATGTATGTATTATTAGACATCTATTTCTTTTCTTTTCTTTTTTTAAATCACTCTTGACTTAATGTTTATGCTCTGATGATGTTGATAGGGTAAGCAAAAGCAAACGAAAAGAACTACCACTTTTTATCAATTTTGCAACGCTTCTACCGGAATTTTACTTTGTACCGATGTGGCTGCGAGAGGTTTAGATATACCCGACGTCGACTGGATTGTGCAGTATGATCCACCAGACGATCCTAAGGTATAGATTGTTACGATAAGATTAAAAGTTTCATTTTACTTATTATTGAAAGAAAGGACAAGAAAGAGAAAAATTCGATATACAGGGTGTTTCAGACCATCCGTACCATCCATTTAAAAACTAGAGAAGTGGTTATTTCAAAAAAGTAAAAACATTTTCTTTATAAATCGGGTGCGCTTTATTAAATGGTGATATTTTCAACTTCTGGTTCCGGCTGGAAATAGGCGATTCAGACCGGAAGTGCATTTTTTTTTAATGGAACCCCCTATTTTTCATTGCATATTCTTGTAGCTTACCTCGAGAGCTTTCCAAAACACTATAATAAATTATTTTTCTATGAAGTACTTTTCGAGTTATGAGGCTTGAAGTAAAAAATATGGAATTGTTAATTGCAAATTACATATTTTTTCTTCGAAATAACTATGTGTTTTCTTTACACCAATTGATTCCTCTCATTATTTTGTACATAAAAGTATTAAGATAAGATAATCGAAAAATGAATATTTTACAAGATATTTTATGGTTTATGTAAAATTAAGAAATGATTTCAAGCCTCATAACTCGAAAAGTACATCATGGAAAAATAATTTATTATAGTGTTTTGGAAAGCTACAAGAATAATGAAGAATAGGGGGTTCCATTTTAAAAAATGCACTTCCGGTCTGAATCGCCTATTTCCGACCGGAACCAGAAGTTGAAAATATCACCATTCGATAGAGTGCACCCGATTTATAAAGAAAATGTTTTTACTTTTTTTAAATAACTTCTCTAGTTTTTAAATGGGTAGGTCTGAAACACACTGTATAATTAAACTATTGTTGAAACGATAATTCAATCATAAAGACTTATGGTTAATAGATATCATACATTTTTTTAGGAATATATTCATCGCGTAGGTCGAACTGCTCGCGGAGAAGGTAGTAGCGGTCATGCTTTGTTGATACTGCGACCAGAAGAGCTTGGTTTTCTTCGTTATCTCAAAGAAGCTCGCGTACCCGTTAATGAGTACGAGTTTTCTTGGAATAAAATTGCCGATATTCAATTACAGGTATGCTATATATAAATATATTTATAGGTGTGCTATATATAAATGTATTTATATTATATTTAATGTGATAATATGAGCCATAGTTATTGTGAACAAGTCACAATTAAGAAGTTTAGAAATATGGCTGTCACATGTTTGATTGCTGGAAAAACTGAGAAATTTAACTATTATATAATCTACGATTTTATTTATTTAATTAATATCTCTGTACATTATGAATGTTAATATAAGAGAAATAATTTTCTTTTTGTTTCTAGCTTGAGAAACTAATTTCCAAAAATTATTTTCTACATCAGTCAGCAAAGGAGGCATTCAAAAACTACGTAAGAGCATATGACTCTCATCATCTGAAACAAGTTTTTGACATAGAAACTTTAGATCTAGCCAAAGTTGCTAAATCATTTGGATTTACTGTACCGCCGGCGGTAGACTTGAGTAAGTGTGTTTTTAGTAATAATTTAACATTAAAAATTGTTATATAATAAAAAATACATACATTCAACACATACAATGTTCTCCTAGAAGGATAAGCTGGAACAAAATAATGCAAAATATTCTTTAATTGATAGATTATTATAATTTAGTATTATTTATAAAAAAATATGTGTAATATAATAAAAGAATGTGTCTTTATATATTTATTACTTTATAGCGCCTTTATTATAAATTAATTAAGGTCAGTTTGCCATTTGTTCCAGTATATCTTGATTATTAAATTATATAAAATGTGTGTGTATATTTGAGAATATGTAGTAGTACAATATAAATATGCAAACTTAATTAATCTAATGTCTATGGGACATCTTGTGCATTCTATTTAACTTTTTGATTGTACAATACAGAAATCGGGTACAGTAAGGCTTCCCGACCAAGAAAACGGCTCGGTGGAGGTGGTTTTGGAAGTTACAAAAATATCAACAATCAAAATCATCGATGGCCACGACATAGATCAAGAAATGAAAACTAACGATTAAAATAAATGATTTATTATGTACATTTATAATAAATATATATATTTATGTAATAAATGATTTATTATGTACACAGTTTGGCTTAAAATACAAAAAAGAGCGTCTATAAAATGCAGTTCTAAAAATTAAAGTACCAAGTAATCTATTAGTCCCAATATTTAATTTTTCCATCCCAACCAGCTGTAACGAGCTTGGAAGGTTCGTGCGGATGCCACAAGACATCGATGCAAACTCCATCATGTGCTTTCCACTTTTTATACAATTTCGTAGTTTTCCAATCCCATATGTAACATCTTCCGTCTGCATCGCCCGATACCAAATAGCTGTTTTTTTTGAAAGAAAAATGTAAATATTTTACTAAATATGTTTTTGTATAAAATAATATATATGTATGTAAAGGTGCGAAGTGTAAAAAATGTTTGCAAAACATTATTGCATTATATATATAGATATATATAGATATCATTATATTCTCATGTTTATTCAATTCGTAAATTAATAATAAATATTAAGATTTGAAGATTACGAAAAATATTTGAAGTCTTTAGAAAAAAAAATTACGTTATATTTTGTGTTTGTATCAAAGCTTATGCAATAATTTTCTTTACAAATAGAAGACACTTTATGAAAATATGTAAAAAAATTAGTATTTTTTTTTTAAATATAAATTACCTCATATCTGGAGAGAAATCCAAACCGCATGCATATCCAGCGACCATGTGTCCCGTAAAAGTCTTTTTTCGATTCATTTTGAATCTATTTAGCGCCGAGAATATGACTATTTTGTTATCCATACTTTGGCATGCAAGCCATTTTTGATTTCGCGACGGTGTTACTGCTGGCATAGAATGCATTGACGGATCAGCTATATATTTCATGTCCACTGGAATATCCCTATATAAAAAACAACAATTTATTAATCAATTTGATTTTTTCAAAATAATCCTTCGCAGTTAATAAAGCAATACCATTCCCAAACTCGTAAACTTTTGTCGTCACTCGTTGTGACAAATCTTCTATTTTCATCGACAAATGTAATAGTATTCACAGCCCCTAGATGTCTGTCGTATTCTTGAGTAATTTCACCGGAACGTATATCCCACTATAACGAAAATTCATTTATTAATCATTCAATTCCGGATTTGTTATTATCTTTTATGCTAAATGTACTTTTACAATAAATAATAAATGTTGCCTCACATATATTATGTATGTATAATTTGTATATATTATGTATGTATAATTTTAATTTAGATTTCCATCGAAATGACGTAACTTTTGATGAAAAAGTATATTTCACAATATATTTTTTAAAATATATATATATATATATATATATATATATATATATATATATATAAAATACTTACACAAATAATTTTTTTATCACTTGTACCAGCTACGAAAAGATGCTGCTTATCTGGATCAGGATTGAACTTGGCACAATATGGAATTTTTCTACTTGTAAAACGACTGATACAAGCTCCCGTTTCTGTGTCCCATAGTTTCACATACCGATCGTAAGCCGCTGATAAAAATCGTTTGCCGTCATTATCGAAACTTATGTCCCGTACCGCTTGACGATGTCCATAATATGTACGGACGCATCTCCTATCCTTGTACACTTCCCACAACTGTATAATAAGAAATATGTTTGTATAATATATTTATTATAATATATATTATATTATTATAATATTTGCAAGTAATATATTAATCAAAGTAATATAGTTAATTTATCACATTATTTATAATTTAGTAATAATATAATTTATCACATTATTTAGCGAAATGAATACCTTTACTCGGCAATCCATGCTACAAGACAGTAACAGATGCGCGGTTCGTGGAAACCATCGAATTTGCGAAATACCTTTTGTATGGCCTTCCCAAGTGTGAATTTGCGCTTTCGGTAAAAAACAGCGATCGGGAGGTGATTCCGATTTCAAGTTTATGCCTACATCCTGAGGTGCGTGTAAGAACGAGCGTCCTTGATAATCCACGTAGTCTTTAACTGCAGTATAAAATTATAAGTATTAAAAATGTTCCAACAACGATAAAAAAAATGTCATCAGTGCAATTTTCTTTTACAAAAATATTCGAAATAAGGAATTTTCTTGAAAATTTAAGCTAAAATTTACATCAATGAAATCATTACTTATGTTGAATTAAGATTTTTATCTATTAAAGTTTCATTTAAATTGTTTGGTAATGAAAGAATAAATTATATCTTTATATGGAAGAAATTAGCAATTCAATATCTTATAAGAATATCTAACAAAGATATTACTGTGTAATACTGTTTTTTCATCAAGTGGCTTTTCTTCTATCTGTTTTCCTCGTTTGTTTCGTTTTGCTAGTATTTCTTCCAATTCAGCAGCTTCTTCTTCACTTGGCTTTATAACTCGTTTTTCGTCTGTGTAGCCTCCCCAAGGCCCTAAGAAACCTTCTATATCTGAAGGATCGCTATTTCTGTTCCTTTTTCGCTTATCCGATGGCCTTAGAGTAGTATTTTCAAAAACAGTTTTACCACCTGATTCTTCGGCAGCCTCTTTTGAGCCAATTATCACTTTACCTTCATCTGCACTACCATCTACAGTTGGATCTAATGCATATCCTAAAGCAAAATATATAGATATTGATTTGAATTTAAGAAATGAATAAAGCTATTTAAATTTAAATATTAGATATTTAAGAATATAAAAAACTATCTTGAATATTTTTGTGTATTATTTTTATGTATACACATATCCAACAATTTACTTAATTATATTTCTTATACAAGTAACTCAGATGCTAAGTTATAAGGTTGGTAAATAAAAATTTGAAAAATATATTAATAACTTTTGCATTTATTATATAAACACACATATAAATGATTTAACTATGCAAGTCTGATTGACTTTGAAAACAGATTTCAGTGTAATTATATTGATTGATGATGTAATTATAATGATTGATGATGTAATTATATTGATAGATTACATTGTCTGTACTTCAAATCTACTAATAACTTGAAACAGAGTTTATGTGGACTTGCATCATTTAGCTCCCTTGCCCCCCACTCCATCTGAGTAACTCATATAATTCAACTTTTGTAGCATGTTTCAAAAATTGCAAAATCTGAATAAAGTTCCTTTTTGTCACATTACTGTTATAATTTAAATTCAGAAAATAAGACTTTGAAATTTTCGTTTATATTTTGTACAATTTATATTAAAGAAGCTATTCCTGTTAGAAGAAATTGATCAGAGAGTTTTATATATAAAATATCATTTATATTACCATAACTAGCAAACGTCCTTCTTTGATTTTCAAACTGAAAAGGACTAATATGTGCATTTTCTACATATCCAGAAAGCATATTTTTTACTGCGCGCTGCTGCTGCGTTTTGAATGGATTTTCTGGGCCAATCTCTGGTCCAAAAAGTTCCTCGAACTTTAAATTGGATGTTATCTCTGTAGTGGTAGGATCCACATGTTTTATACACAATTCTGTTCCCTAAAAAAAATGATACATATAAATCTTATGTATTTTTTATTAAAAAAATAAAATTGAAAGTGGGCAATATTATGTAAGGAAAATGTTTCGATGGAATTATTTTTTCAATGGATACAGCGCGAGTATAGGCTTTGAGTATCGCCCTCACGACAAATATTAGGGTCCTTAGAGGGCAGAAAAAAAAGGAATAACGGTTGCGTAAAGTCAAACATGTATATTATAAGTGGCACTAGTATATTTATAAATGTATGTTCCTCACTGAATCGGAACTCAAAATAACCAATAAGTACCATAAATACAACTGTACAAGTCTCTGATAACATTCACTATTAAACAGCGTTAACAATCTTTGATAAAATGAAAGATCAATCTGTCATTTTTTTTTTGATCATGTAATATCTTTTGACGCTGAAAATAAGCGTCCTTGGGCCCATAAATTTGTATCTTTATTAATTAATAATTATTTATTAATTTATTTATTAATATCTTTTGACGCTTAATAAATTAATTAATAAATTATTATTAATTAATAAAGATACAAATTTATGGGACGCCCAAGAATGCTTATTTTTAGCGTCAAAAGATATTACATGATCAAAAAATGACAGATTGATCCTTAATTTTATCAAAAGTTGTTAACGCTGAAAAATTAATTAATTAATTAATTAATTAATCTAATTATCGCATATTATATGTTCATAACCTCAAAAAAAAGATCACAGTATACTTACCATAGGTACGACGTCTGGAGCAGAACAGATATTTAAATTAATAGGCGTTGTTAATTTATTAAGAGTAAACGATTCATTTTCGTTCTCGCTATTCTCATCGCTGCTGTTGTAATCACGAAGAAGGCTGAGAGCCATGGTGTATCTCTATTGGTCTCTATCAAATAATTGGCGTCATATGTCAGACATAGAACAAAGAGAAGACTGATGGCCATCACACATAAAATTCTATAAGCACAAGTTCCGACCTACAATTGGTAATTTAAGCCCTAAGCCTTAAGGTGCAATTTCATCGATGCTAAAAAGTAGCGTCAACCATTGGTTAAACAATGAAGCAATTACTTACTTCTTTGTTCAACCAATGGTTGACGCTACTTTTTAGCGTCAATAAAATTGTACCTTAAGAAGTTCACCAATCACAGTCGAGTATTCTCTTCATACTCGACTGTGATTGGTCAATTTCTTAAGGCTTAAGGTGCAATTTCATTGACGCTAAAAAGTAGCGTCAACTATTGGTTAAACAATGAAGCAACTACTTAAGGTTGTTCGGAAAGTAATTTCGTTTTTTTTTATGAAAATGAAAGACGATTTTCTTATAGTGAATAAATATTTTATTGAATTATATATTGTCCATTCTGGTCCAATACCTTTTGCCATCTTTCTGGCAGTAGCATGATTCCACGCTCATAAAATTTTTGTTCTTTGCTGGCAAAAAACTGATCCAGGTGATTTTTGACCTCTTTATTTGAAGTAAAGGTTTTACCGTCTAAAAAATTTTGTAGAGACCGGAACAAATAATAATCAGAAGGTGCCAGATCTGGAGAATATGGTGGGTGTGGCAGTATATCCCATCCAAGCTGTAAAAGCTTTTGGCGAGTTACCAAACTTGTATGAGGTCTCGCATTATCTTGGTGGAACACTACACCTTTTCTATTGATCAATTCTGGCCTTTTCTGTTTAAGTGAATCATTCAATTTGTCCAGCTGATGACAGTACACTTCAGAATTGATCGTTGTGTTGTCCGGTAGAAGCTCAAAAAAAACGATTCCTTTGAAATCCCACCAAACAGATAGCATCACCTTTTTTTGATGAATATCGGCTTTCGAAGTGCTTTGAGCCGGTTCATCTCTTTTATTCCATGATCTCTTGCGTTTAACATTGTTGTAGACAACCCATTTCTTGTCCCCAGTGATGATGCGCTTCAAAAATGGATCATTTTCTTGACGTTTGAGAAGCAAATCACAAACGTCAACGCGACGGCACAAATTTCTTTCCGTAAGAATATGAGGAACCCATATGTTGAGCTTCGAGATTAAACCTAGGCGTTTCAAATGATCATGAACGGTCGAATTCGATAAATTTAATCTCTCAGCGATCTCACGAGTTGTTATTCGCCGGTTTGCATCAATTAATGCCTTTATTGTGTCTTCATCAGCTTCAACTGGCCTTCCAGAACGTGGTGCATCTTCAACATCAAAATTGCCGGATCGAAATTTTGCAAACCAGTTTTGGCACTGGCGTTCTGTCAATACATCTTCTCCATACACATCGGATAATTTTTTTCTTGCTTGAATAGCATTTTTACCTTTTCGATAGTAAAAAAGTAAAATATACCGAAAATGCTGCTTTTCACTTTCCATATTTGAAAGGGCACCAACTAAAAACTACTGCGTAGAATCAATCGAACTTTTTCACAAGCAAGCCTTGCTATATCAGCTGTCAAAATATATAATGATTATGCGGCTTAAGTGTGAAGTTGGCTATGAAAAAATACAATTAAGTCCTCTGTTGGGAAAAAACGAAATTACTTTCCGAACAACCCAACCATTAAGGTGCAATTTCATTGACGCTAAAAAATAGCGTCAACCATTGGTTGAACAAAGAAGTGAATAGTTGCTTCATTGTTTAACCAATGGTTGACGCTAAAAAGTAGCGTCAACCATTGGTTGAACAAAGAAGTAAGTAGTTGCTTCATTGTTTAACCAATGATTGACACTACTTTTTAGCGTCAATGAAATTGCACCTTAAAGGTGCCTTTACATAGGAGCGTTTTAGCGTCGAGCGTTAAAGCGTCAAAAAGTATGACATGCGCAGTGTGCCTAGTGATTTGTTGAAACGCTGGAGCAGTCAGTAAATCATCTAAATTGCGGAATATTATCAAATATTATCATTATTATCAATATTATCAATATTATCATTATTATCAAATATTATCAATAAAATGTCAGTTAATTATCGTTATCATCAATGATTATTAGAATGCAGCAGCATTATTAATCATGAATATAAGAAAAAAAAAAGTTACGTGCACACTCCACACGTTATATCCTATACAAAGAATACATTGTAATAAATAATATTCATGTTGTATTTAGAAAACATATATTTATGCAATTATTCCTTCTGTTTGGTTATGTTGTAATACGCTACTAATCGCGCAATTCTATAATATATATTGTATAATGATATCTATTATATCTATTATATCTATTATATTTATTATATATTATATATATTAATACATTTTCTATTAAGAATATACAATCTACTTACCTCTACCGTATTTATTAAAATTTTGTTACTAGACATTGTTTTAGCGGTTTTAGCGTCAAGATGCTGGAATCTGCCTGTTCAGAATTATGCGCAAGGGTGCTGCGCACGTGTTTTTGACGCTCGACGCTTGACGCTAAACGCTTCCATCTAAAGACGCCTTTACAGTCTGTAAAGTAAGAGCGTGTACGGCATAAATGGCAGTTGGCTTCAAATATCGTTCTAGGTTTTTTGTGAGTCGATAGATGGAATCTTTGTCGTGAATGCTTTGTCACAAAAGATTCAGTTGGTGTCGAATTCTTATCTGAGAAACACGTTAACCGCCATGAGTGCCGCATACGCATCACGCTACGAGGCTGTGTTCCTTTGTTCCCACCCGAAAGGACCAAAAATGTCATATGTAGCGGCTGCTAAATACATGGGAAAGTCAAAATCGTTCGTCGCTAAGTGGGTTCAGCAATATAAGAAGACCAAAAATGTCGATGACTTGCCAGAACGTGGTTCGATAGGCAAAGTGACGCCGAACATGGAAAAAGAAATTGCGAATTTGTTTAAGCGGAACCCGACCTTAACCTTGCGACAAGGAGCAGCAAAATTAAAACAGAAGGGTGTAGAAATATCACATACAACTATTCGAACCCATCTCCTTGCGCATAACATCAAATATCGAAGCACAATGAAGAAACCACAATGAAGAAACCTGTTAAGCGAAAAACATGTGATGAAAAGACTCGTTTGGGCAAAGGAGAATTTGGACCGAGATTGGAGCAACGTGATCTTTACGGACGAAGCTTCTGTTTGGGGATATATTACCATCCGACGTTCCTGGTCAACCTTGACCAATAGATTAATACAACGGACCGTTAAACACCCTGTAAAAGTTCATCTTTGGGGTCGCTTTTCAAAACAGGGTTTTGAAGCATTACATCTGTTTACATACAATTTAAATGTTCCGAAAATGCTTAAAATTTATGAAAAGTAGCGGATCTGTCTAATTCCTCTTTTACTAATAACCAAATATACACTATGATTCGTTTTTTTTTTTTTTTAATTATATATGTAATTATATATTGATGTAATTATATATTGATCTTATTTTTATATTTGCAATATTATTAATATAAAATGTTATTAATTGAATATTATTAATTAATAGAAAACAATAATATAAAAATTATTTAGAAGATAAAAAATGTATTCCATTAATTTTGTATAAAAAAGTTTATTTATATACATATGTATGTTGATTTAATTCTGCCATAGTCGTAATACTTTATCTTTTCCACCTGAAGCGACTCGTACACCATCCGGTGACCAATCGACAGCATATATCTCATCAGCATGACCAGGTAAATCTTGGCTTAACTTTTTAGTTTTTATGCTCCAAACTGTAAACAAATATGTGATAAATCCAAAATAGTCTAGTTAATAAAATTTTTCTATACCCGACTTTTTTTATATTTACTTTTCAAAGTTGAATCTGCACTGCCACTGACCAGCAAACGAGAATCGGCGCTCCATGCTAGTGAATAAATCGCCTGAACGTGACCTCTTAATGAAGCAATATACGCCCCCGTAGAAGATTCCCATAATTTGATAGATTTATCAAAGGACGCAGAAGCAATTATACGACCATTCGGCGCAAATTTGACATCGTTTATAAGTTGCTGATGACCCGTCATTCTTGCTAAAAAAAGAAATACTTCCACAATATTTCCTTTTTTATAATTTTGATTTAATTATATTTTGAAATATAACATACCAATAGGTTTCTTGTCTTTTTCCGGCTTCCACAAAAATAATGTGAAGTCATCAGATCCAGACACAAGTTTTTCTTCACCTATAGATTCATATTGCATTCTTGCATATTCCAATGGATCGTTTGCACTTGATCCCAATTGCATAGGACCAGTCCTAAGTACATAATCAACATTTAAAGCTAAAGTGTTCACCCAATGAGCATGGCCTTCCAAGGTTCTACACAATACACCCTAGAATCGATTTAACTAGTTAGAAGTGGAGCTGGATATTAACTAGTTAGAAGTGGAGCTGGATATTAACTAGTTTAGTATTAAAATACATACATCCTGTGCTCTCCATACTTTGACAGTTCTGTCTTGAGAGGCAGAATAAATTAGACCACTACCACCCCATTTAATATAAGTCACACTTTTTGTATGACCAGACAAAACACGACAAGTTTGTGCCCTCTTTGTGTCCCAAATACGTATATCACAATCCTTGGATGCACTAGCTAAATATAGGCATTCTGGGTTCTTATGATAAGGCTCCCAGCATAAGGATGTCACCCACATTTTGTGTCCTGTCATGGCTTTTCCTATAAAATAAAAAAATGTAATATAATATGATATAAAGATAAAAAAATAATGTAATATATAAAAGATAAAATTTTTTTTTAAAAGACATGAAAACTTTAACTGATTAAATATAATTTATAAATATATACCTATTTGTTTGCCAGTATGAGGATTCCATAAATAAATTGATCCATTTTTACATGCAGAAGCAAGCTTAGAGCCACAGGGTGACCAGGAAATACACAAGACCCAATGTTTGTGTCCCTCACATGTATAGTGTGGTGTTTGCGTATGGATATCCCAAAACCTTACTGTTGTATCACCAGAACCACTGGCTAGATGCTTGCCATCCGGTGAAAAAGCAACAGATATAACCGCTTCTTTGTGCCCTATATATAAAAGCAAAAAAGTTTATAAAACATTCTGTCACGTGTTTTTGAATATCCCAATTTACATAAAATTATTATTAACAACCTTCTAGAGATCCAGTGCATCTTGTAACAGCTTTGACTTTGAATACCGCTTGTGGTTGATATACAATCTCTACAACATTTTCACTAACATTAAAGTTTTTGTCTACAAATTTCTCCAATGTATCTGTGACCTCTACATTATTCACATAAAAGGCCAAAGGCAATGACTCCTCTTGCTGCAGCAGAGCATTGCAAATATCTTGTAGTTTATTTACAGTAACATTGACTGGCAATTCTAATAGACCACCAGGTAGAATTTCACCAGATTCTGATTTAAAACGAGAAGCAATTATCTTGACATCTGTATCAGATTGAGTGATGTAGTTCTCGTCATCAAATTTCCTTTTAGTCATCTTGATAAAATCAATGTAAAAACACACTGTCATTATTAAATATCAAATATATATATATATATATATATATATATATATATATGTATATATATGTGTATGTGTGTGTGTGATATTTGTGTGATTTATCAATTTTATTTTTAAAATAATGAAAAAGAGTGTATGATTATATATGAATATATAACCTATATATGAATATATAGGTTATATATTCATATATAATCATACACTCTTTTTCATTATTTTAAAAATAAAATTGATAAGTCACAAAGACTTACATTTGTTAATGAAATCTTTTATAAGCAGATATTTTATTATTATTTTTTTTTATATATTTAATATATAAAATCACTATAAAAGCACGTGTTTTCCATCAACCGTCAATTCCACAGCACAGTATATACCGGCTGCGTGCCAAAATTCACTGCCAATACTGAAAATCTATAGTTTACATGACGTACACTATAGATTTTCAGTACTGGCAGTGAATTTTGGAACACAGCCACAGTAGCGCAATTCTAGCAATATCAGCGTGGATAAAAATGAACTGCGCATGCGCGGACTTGATAAGTAACCAATCACGGCAGTGATCTTCTGTCTCGCTTTATCTTTCTCTTTGTCTCTCTTTCAAAGATACGTTCCAAAACGTACTCTCCGAGGAAAATTTTACTCGATAGCCGTTCCGAAACTCTTTTAAGCGTTTCCGATTGGTTCGAATCAGCCATCGAGTAAAATTTTCCTCAGTTAAAGGTCATTCTACAATGGCCGTAGCATAAGGTTGTAAGGCGTAAAGGCCTTTGCACGTACAAAAATTTTAGTCGTAACCGTAAAGCGTAAGGAAACTGACCAATCACAGTTGATTATTCTTTTATCGCAGAAAGAATACTCGACTATGATTTGTCAGTTTTCTTACGACTTTACGGTTACGATTAAAATTTTTGTACGTGCAAAGGCCTTAAGACTCAAGAAATTGACCAATCACAGTTAAGTATTAAGAGAATACTGGACTGTGATTGATCAATTTTTTGGCCATTTTAGAATGGCCTTTATGATACGGCCATTATAGAATGAAGGCCGCAGCACACACTTTTGCATAAGCGCATAACCATAAGCATAAAAAAATTGATTGGTTCATTTTCTTATGCATACACTTGGGGACCAATCAATTTCCTTATGCTTATGGTTATGCGCTTATGCAAAAGTGTGTGCTGCGGCCTTTAAGGTCAAGGCCGCAGCACACACTTTTGCATAAGCGCATAACCAGAAGCATAAGGAAATTGATTGGTCCCCAAGTATATGCATAAGAAAATGAACCAATCAATTTTCTTATGCTTATGGTTATGCGCTTATGCAAAAGTGTGTGCTGCGGTCTTAAGGCTTAAGGCTTAAATTATCTATTATAGACCCGGCCTTAAAAAAATAATGGCATCTACCTCGAAGAATGTCGACGAGAAAAGACAAGAGGGTCCAATCAGATGCATATTCTTTGCCGAATTTCATCACATAGCGGGCCCTAAAATTACATATCAGGTGAAGAGAGTGTGCGTTATAAATAAATGATTAATGTTCTCCTTTTGTATTTAAAGTTGACATATGAATTATATTATTTCTTGTAGGTACCTGATAATTTTATATCCAAGGATATCTTTGACAATGTCAGTGTTTATATCATACCCAAAGCACAATTGCAAAGAAGCACTATTACAATGTAAGTTTAAGAAATTAAAGTTGTAAAATTAATTCTAAAAAAAATTGTGTGTGTATGTCAATTTTTTAATTAATATCTAAAAATTTTTCTTTCTTATAGCACATTAAAGGACTATAAAATTTTAGGATTTCCTGTAAAGATTGATGATAAAAAATATGCAAGAAATGCATTTTACTTCAATTTGTGTTTTGTGTGTGATGCAAATGCTCGTACTGTGCACTATGAACCAGTGGTTAAAAAAATGTCAGATTTCTTGGTAATAATTTTTTTTATAAAAAATTCTATGTTTCTTTTAATATACTCAGAAAATACAGAAAGAATAAGTTATTATGTATCATATATTTTATATGATTAGATGGCTTTGGAAATAGAAAATTGCTTCTTATCTGCCTCTGATGACAAAACCAGGTTAGCAGAGATGCTTGCACAAGTCATGCAGGATTTAAATCTGCACAAAATGTGTACATTAACTGGTAAAATTTATACATTATTTCAATAGAAAATTTTACTATATTTTATATATGTAATGTTTTAATAGAGGGAACAATGACATCTCATCTGAAAGTAGTGAGATTAGCACCTGAGCCCAAGCCAGTTCTCGATCATCAAGTACCGATATTCTTGGAGAGTAGAGAGGCATTTCAGAGCGATCAATGGGATCTGACAACACAGCAAGTGTTGCCTTATATTGATGGCTTTAATCATGTGGCGCGTATAGCAGCTGCAGCTGATGTAGAAAATAATTTAGTTAAAAGCTGTGTACAAAATCTTATGTAAGAAATATTTAAAAAATGCAATTTTAATTGTTGCAAATAATTATTCTGAAAGACATGTTTGAATTTTTGTAGATATTATGGAGTTGTGACTCTGATTCCGATATTTCAATATAGTAATGTTTATGCTATAACTCCAAAATTAAAGCAATTAGGAGACGATATAAAATTACAGGAGAGATGTATAGCATATGCTTCTAAATCACGTGAGCAATGTTTTATTATGTTATTACAATGATATTTTTATTAATAAATTTGTAATAAAATTTATAAATTGTTTTTTATATCTAGCCAGGCAACCTGCGTATTTTAGAGATATATACCGTATGTATTCAAGTATGACTTATGGTGTTACCATGAAGGACTTGTGCCAGCGTCTTAATCCACAAAACTTAAGAATAAACGAGAGAAGATTGGTACAATTTGGTCTAATAGAGGGACTTATTAGAAGAGTATATAATGTGAGCAGCTTATGCATATATACTGAATATAGTAATACATGAATATGACATTGTATTTTGTTTTATAGTATCCTGTACTTCTTCCTGGTGCAGCTAGCAGTGAAGAAGCAAAAAACAATCCAATCTATAAGTATTTCACAGGCACGTATAGTCTTGATGAAATATGCTGTAGTACAGGCCAGTCAACTGCACAAATCGAAGATATCATTGAACGCGATCCAAATGTACTAATAATACGGAAGTGATATAAAACTAACAAAACCTAAAAATAAAAAAATAGAAAGTCTACAAATGTATTCTCGATGCCAAAGAAATTGAAATTTTCTTTTTATTTACTATTTTATGACTCTTAAAACATGTACATTTGATATTTGATAAGTTGAAGATGATTTATTTTTTCATTACTTCCAAAAAATGAATTTTTCTATTAAACATCAGAGGACTAAAAACAATATGTTAATCATTTTGAGATCAATTATGTATATTCATGTAAAAAATTTCACAATCATGATAAGGATTTTTTTATTTTAATGTAATCTATATTTTTTCTTATGTAATCATGTACATAGTTTTGTGTAGGCATCCATACATACATATCAAATACATAGTGATATGCTGCATATTTATTTTCTTGAAAAATGGGTAAAAGTAATATTTACTTTTCAAAATCTGATGGAATAATTCATAATTTCTAAATATTTTCGATCATTCGTTTTACTTCATTAATGTAAATATCTGGTACTTTGTTCTCTTTCATTTCTTGGCACTTTCGTTCCATTACATCTTGTAATTTCTTTTTATGCATCGCTGTTTCTGCGCGGATTGTTAGACCTTCTATAAACATCTTTTGTCGCTCAGCGATACGTTCTCGTTCCTTCTCATTTACCTATTCAACAAGATAACAAATCAATAATACATATTTGTTATATAGGATGGCTTATCTTATATTGATATTTCTTGAAAATCAAGACTTCTATGGAAAAATGTTTTGTTTAAAATTTTAGTGATTTTGAAGAAAACAAAGTTTATGCCATTGATTTGACCCTACATGAAAATCCTAATGTTATTTCAAAGTCATATTTATAAATATAATAGATTTTTATAAATAGAATCACTCTAATTTGTTTATATAAATTGATTTCTCGCAATATTCAGCATAAAAAGTTATAAGAATAGGACATCGAAAACTGAATATAGTTTATGATATTTTGTACCTTAATTTGGCATACTTTTACATTATTATTTACATCATTATTAATTATTATAATTTTATATAATTAATATGATATATAATTAATATTATTATTTTAATTAATTAATTAATATTTTTATTTATTATCCATTAATCCTTGTCTTTCGGCTTAAGATAGACTTCCTGTTCAATACATCAATCTTTACAATATATATATTTATATTTATACTCATTTTATTTTATTTTATTTTATGTTCACTTATTAAACTATAAATTCTAAACTCAGTCTTTATTCCTTTGTATCTTTAACTCTTTAATTCTTTAAAATCTTGAAATCATGAAACTTAAACTTTTCTTTAACTTTAACTTTTAAAATCTTACTTTTAAAATTTTAGAACGTAAAACTAAAACTAAAACATAAAAATCTAAAAACTTGAAAACTCAAAATCTTAAAAAAAAAAATTCAAAAATTCTAAAACTTAAAACCTAAAAACTTGAAAACTCAAAAGCTCTAAAACTTAAAATCTTGCAAACTTTAAAAACTTAAAAACCTAAAAATTTAAAGTCATTTAACTTTTAATTTTTTAACTCTTAATTTTACATCACTTTATATATTTTATATATTTCAGTCTCAAACTTTCGCCTGCTTCTCTTTAGTTTGAACTCCTTTTTGCGCTTTTGTCTTTTCTTCTATTTGCTTTTTCCTTTCTCGTTCTATCTTCATTATTTCCAATCTTCTGTCTTCCACGCTTAGAAAATCTTCATTTTGTATGTTATCCTTGTTGCCTCACATTCTTTTAACACATGGATTAGGTTCTCCTCTCCTCGACCACATACTCTGCATATCCTTTCTTCTATCTCTCTCTAATATTGACCTTCTCTTAGTTCATTTCCACATCTGTATCTTGTTATTAAACTCCTGTTCTTTTTTTTTCATTTTTTCTTGTAGATACTTTGGTAAATCTTCCGTTATTATATCTTCATATATGTTCCCTAACAGCTCATGTAGATACTGAGAATGTTCGAAGAATATCGCAAAAGTATAATGCATATATTCTCAGAACATTCAAGATACATACTATGATATATTAAGTATATACTAAGACTGCTCTAATGTCTGCCTATTTTGGTTAATAGTAAATACTGAGAATATCTTGTAGTATAATTCATACATGTAATATAAATACTTTTGATAAATGCCGTAAACGCACACATTATTTCTCATTTTAATTTCAAATAATCTTTTTAATATTCTGAATCCCAACCAGAAATCCAGAACAACTAAACTACTAAACAAATTTTAAATTAAGTCAATTTATTATAAATTAAACTGACTAAAAAGAAAACAGAAGAAACTTTGGAACTCATGTTAGTACCAGTCCTTTATTTCTATTTCACCAAAAATTAAGTACGAATTTGATAGCGCGCGTAGCGGCAAAATGAGGAAACACATGCAATATTATAGAATATCCTGAAAATGTACGAGAAAGAATATATTAATACGAAGTATTCAAAGTATATTCTGAGAATAAATGAAAAATAATATACAACAAGAGATGTTATGGGATCATTCTCAGTATATTACATCTGTAACGTATATTTATAGTATGAGTATAGAATATTCGGATGATATCATGTGCTGTTAGGATTGTTGTATTTTGATTTCTTGATTTTCTTCCGTCTTCCTTCTTCTTCTTTCTTCCAAATCTTTGTCAATACTATATTAACTATCTCCTGGTTTCCTCTCTCTCTCTCTCCCACACTTTATTTCTTCTTTATCTATTCCTATCCTTTTTAGTAGATCTCCTCTTGCCGCTTCCCATTTTTCTTCTTCTTTCTTCGTTTTTACTTTTTATAAATCTTTTCTACATTCGACGACTAATTTCTTTCTAGAATTCCTTACTTTCTCCTCATGATGATTGCTCTTCTAGTTGCTTCTATTCTTATTTCTATCATTTTTGTTTCTTCTATTAGTATATAATTCGATGTTCTTCTGTCTAAGCCTAACATCCATTTCACATATTTTCCTTTAATTCTGTCTCGTTTCATTCTTCCATCCCCACATTTCCGCTCCATATAATGCCACACTGCTTACTAGCGCATCAAACATTTTCTCTCTCCTCTGTATAAATCATTTCCGAATATTCTTTCTCCTATACTCCACGTCTTTTTCATAGCAATCATTGCTCTCTTAAATCTTTCAATGACATTTTTCTGTTCCTCTGTTCTTTTGCATTATGTATCCTAAATACTTTATTTCTGTAACTTCTTCTTCTTTATATATATTTCTGACAGAAATTAGGTTAGGTTAGGTTACGAGAAATTAGATTACGAGAAAGTACAGCTCACATAGCGGTAAGTGAAGGAACTATCGAATCATGCAAACCTTGTTCCGTTTCTATCGTCAATTTGCTATCAGAGATTGTGTGCGCAGATCCTGTTCGATTTTTGTTATTACTTTGCTCAGATTGCGCCTCACAGATCCTATTAAATTTCTGCTATCAATTTGCCATCAGTTATATCTGAAAGTTTTACTCGATTTCTGCCGATAATTTGAAATCAAATTTCATTGCGCAGATCCTGCTCCGTTTCTGCCGACAATCTGTTGTCAAATTGCGTCGCACAGATCCTGTTAAATTTCTGCCATCAATCTGCTGTCAGTTATATCAGCAGGCTCTACTCGATATCTGCTGAGAATTTTGATATCAAATTTCATTCCGCAGATCCTGCTTGGTTTCTGCAATCAATGGGTGTGTTTCGGGGTCGCATCGCTACAGTAGCGCTTCAGCTTTTTTGCTACAATTGTAGCAGAAAAAAATGGCGACCGCTACAATTGTAGCAGAAAGTCCTGAAACGTACTTTTATAGCGCTACCCAGACAGCATAAAAAGGCCAAAAGATGTCTTAAAGATGTCTAGAGGACTTTCTAGAAGACGTTTTTAAATCGTCTTTTAGATGTTTTTTGGACATGTGTGCTGTTTAGGTACTATAGCGCTTTAATAACGTGAAACACGCTTATGTAGCGCTACAATAGCGCTACTGTAGCGATGTGACCTCGAAACACACCCAATCTGACATCAAACTATTTTGCGCAGGTCCTGCTCTGTTTTTGTCGTCAATCTTCTATAATAATTTTATATAACTTTTGTTCGATTTCTGTCAACAATCTGACATCAAATTGCATTACTCAGATTTTGTTCGATTTCTGCAACCAATCTGATATCAAACTGTGTTGCACAGATCTTGCTCGATTTCTGTCATCAATCTGCTATAATATAATTTTAAACAAATCCTGTTCAGTTTCTGCTATCAAATTATATCAGCAGGTTTTGTAACATTTCTGCTGACATTCTGTTATCATAATTTAATATAACAAATTTTTTATACAATCTACAATCTTACTGTCGACAAAAATTTGTAGCAGAAATGGACAAAATCTGTTTGAACAGACTTTGCTGACTGGGTAAGTCCATCCTCTTTCATTATTGTAACTTCCATTTAAAATTGTCCATTCCCTTTCTTCTATCTTACTGATTAATACCCTTTCTTTTCTATTTATCACCTTGTCTCTTGAGTTTCTAGATTCTCCCTTTTTTCTTTTTCCTTATCTTCTCTTATTGGTCCCCCTCTTGCATTATAATCTCCTATTACCAAATGTTCTTCTTTTCTTCTTGTATATATTCCGTTATTGTTTCCATTGTTTCTTTTATATTTTGACTATATACCGTAATTATATTCCATCTATTTCCATTATATAACATTTTTATTTCTACTACTTGCTGGCTTAATTTTCTTGTAATTACCTCTTTCAAACCTTTCTTTGTAGCTGTGATAATTCCTCCTCTTCCTTTCTTGTTCTCCTTTCTTGCCGATATGCAGATCCAATTAAATTTATTTGACATTTTATCTTTTATTTTCTTCCACTCTTCTTCTTCTATCCAAGTCTCTGTTAATCCTATTATATCAAAATTGTCCAGATATTCCCAAGTCTCGTCGTATTTATTTATTATCCCAGCTATGTTCCAAAAATAGATTTTTAAGCCCTCCTTCACCGTCTCTTCTCCTTCCTCTTCTCAATTTTTTCTAGATTTCTCTTCTAGTCTTCTGTCCTTTTCATTCCATATATATATACACAGTCTTCAATAAATATTTTCATATATCCTACTTTTACTTTCTTTCCTTTTGTCCTTTCTTCCTTTGCCTTCTCTCTTAGTTGCTTCTATATCTCCCTTTCCTCCTTCGTTAGATCATCTTCTATCCAGATTCCTGTCTTCAAATTCTTCTTCTTGCTCATTACTTCTCTGTTTTAGTCCCAGCTATCTAATTCCGTAACTACAATCTCTTTATTCTCCTTAATTTTTAATTTATATACTTTCTTCGCCGCTACTTTTACATCTAAGTTTTCCTTAATAAATTTATTCACTTCCTATTCGATTTATCCTGTCTCCTATCTTACTCCTTTAATCACTACATTTTTCTTGCGATTTTCTCTTTCTCTCTTCTCATTTATCCACTCCAGTTCTGCTATCCTCCACTCCAACTGTTTTTTTTCTTCCTTCCACATTTTGTCGTTTCTTTCTCTTTCTTCTTTTTTTGTCATTCTTTCTTCAATTAGCTCCTTTCTAATTGTCGTTATTTGTTCTGCAAAATTATCTTGCATTTTTGTATACATTAGTTCCATTTGCTTTCTCAATTCTCCTATCTCTTTATATATTTTTTCTATGTTTTTCGTACATATGTCCTCTCTGTCTGTGCTTTCCTACCTGATCTTCCCGTCATTGACGCCACCTGTTCCTCTATGTACTAAATCTCCTTTGTTCTCTCTAATCACTTGGCCCAGCTTCTTAATCTCACTTTTCTGTTGCCGCCTCGATTAATCCTTTTATAAGATTACCTATTAGTTTCCTAACTTATTCTTCTCGTGTATGTCTATTCTATCTATTCCTCTTTCTTTTACTTCTCTTTCCTGTCCCTCTCTTACTGCTAAATATCTAAATTTTTAATGTAAATTCACACTACTTAAACTGCGTGCACTCTGCTATCGTATCCGAACCGGAAGTCCATATATAATTAATATATAATTAATATATAATATGATATAAATTATGAAATATTTCGCGAAATATTCACTTTCTGAATATCTTATCTTCAATACTTTTATGTACAAAATAATGAGAGAAATCAATTGTAAAAAAAACACGGTTTTAAAAAAAATATGAATTTACAATTACAGTCTCATATTTTTTCTTAAATTTTTTGGTAAATACATAAAAATAATTACAAACCTGCTTTAATATTTCATTGCGATGGATTAAAATTTGTTGTTGTTTCTGCTCAAGTTCTTTCTTTTCTCTACAAAAAGCTGCTCGTTGAACACGTATGATTTTCTCGAATTCCCGCCTATCACGTTCAATCTCAATAGTTCGCATTACTCGCTTATTATTTATTTGTTCTTCCCTCTCTTTTTGAAGAATTCTTTGAGCTTCTAATCTTTTCAACGCTTCTTCCTTCTCCTTTTGTCTCCATTCCCGTTCTACTTCTTCCTGAATTCGAGCTGCATTGATTTCATCAATTTGTGCCTGGAAATTTATCACTATGATTTGCCTAGTCGAAGTTATTATGTATAACTTATATTTTTCAATAAGTATCATGTATATGTATTTTCAAATATTAATTAAGCAAAATCATATAATATACGAATAAAAAAACAAAGAAATGTTTAAAAAATAACAAAGAAATGTTTAAAAAATAACAAAGAAATGTTTAAAAAAAATTTAACATTTTATTAGCAATAAACATTAATCTTTTAGCATAACGTATAATACTTAATTTTTTTAAGTAAAAGTAATCAAAGTGAAGTGAAAAAAATACGGATCGAAGTTTCGAAAAGAAAGAAAGCACATTGTAGATAGCAGCGAGGTCTGACGTGGCACTCATTGACCCTTGATAACAAGTAAATATAAGGATGTACGAAGGTAATTATAAAAGAGCGATATGCAATGCAATGATGATGCATTGCAGAAATTACTAAGAAAAATTCATGATTTTTCACTATGTGCACTTTATATATAGAATTCTTTATATATACACAAACATCTAATAGAATTTTAGATATTACTCATATCGTCAAGAATATCGCAAGTAGAAATGTAAATAGAAAAAAATATAAAATGCTTTTTTCAAGAATTTATTTTTTTTCAAATATTTAATATATTTATATTTTGATTATTGCGAATTAATTTTCCATAATTTTTTATTTTTTAGATAATATATAGATTTAAACTAGTATTATTTTTAATTGCATTTCAATTGACTATACAGTTATGTATATTTTGTAATTATTATTATATTTTTAATTAAATATCTCCAAAAATATCAAAATTGAATTTAAAAATTTATTATTTTTAATCTAGATTTTGAATCTATATAAAAACTGTTTTTAAAAAACAGTTCTTAAAAACGTGTCTTAGTCTTTATTATAATATAATTAAAAAAAACTAATGTTCTTATATTTTAATATTCTTATATTAAATTAATTTTTTCTTAAGTAATTTTAATAATTCATAGATATTTGTGCGATGAAAATGCAAATTAAATTAATTAAAAAAACATGATATAATTCGGATAATTTTCAATTAGTAGACATATAACAAAATTTATTATTATCTATTTAACTGAAAATTATTTGATTTTTAATGTAACATATCGCAAAAATCTCACTAATTTACTTAAATTACTTTCAAAAGAGGAAAAAATATAAAACTTTTGGAGTTTTTTTATTATATTAACAAAAAGTAATATTAAAAGAAATGAAAAAAATTTTTATTTAAAAAAGATAAAAAAACTATTTTTTATCTTTAAAAATTGTCAACTTTTCAAATTGGATATTCCATACCTGAAGTTCATGTGTTTGCATTGTTTGTATCGCCACTCTGGTTTTCTCTTGTTCTTTTCTTAATTTTTCCGATCTTTGTTCTTTCGCCTTTTCAGCTTCTTGTTTCTCTTTCAGTCGATGATAATTTTGTATCCTAAAAAAAAACTCATTTTTTCATAATGAAAAGATAATGAATTAAGAGAAGAATATTCTTAAAACATTCTAAATAAAATATATAATTAATTTTAAAATTTAAATTTTAAAGTGTATTTCTCTTAATTTTAGGATTAATATTAATTAATTTTAAAATTAATAAAAATATACCTTAAATCTATAATTTTATTTTCCTCTTGTTCCATGGCCTTAAAATATTTCAATTGTTTGTTTCCCTCCGCAAGTTCTTGTCGCACTTTAATGTTCTCGGCTTCTTTGTTACGCAGCTTCTCAATCTCCTCTTGTTGAAACGCGATATTATTTAAAGTGATAAGCCGACTTTCCTCTTGCTTCCTCTCAAACTCGAGAATTCGTTGCTCCTCGTTTTCTAGAATTTGTTCCTTCAGAAACTTTGCAAATTGTAGCCTTTTGGCTGTTTCTTCCTGCTCTTTCCGCAATTCTTCCTTGATCGCCCATCTCCTCTCATTTTCCATCATATTGTTCAGCCGTTTCTCTTCCTCGCGAAGCTCTCGTTCTATCAATTTTCTTTCTGCAATCTACAAACAGATAGCTAAATGTATGAAAATTTTAAATATTATAGAGAAATATTTATCGTTATATTTTCAAAATTAATCGTAGTATGAACGAATTTACTTGGGCATCGCGAATAGCACGGCACTTGGTTTCCAGGATAAGTCGATTGCATTTTTGTATTTCTTCCTCTTGCTCCATACGCATGTTGTGCGCACGTTCGAGGACGTGCATCGTTCGTCTTCTCGCTTCCTCCTCGACTTCCCTCGTTCTCAAATCTTTTTCACGACTTTTCTTCATATCTATCCTGCGAATCATTTCTTTGCGCTCAATGCTTTTCTTCGCCAATTTCTCCTTCTCTTTCTCTGCAGCTTCCGCGATTGCTAATCTTTCTTCCTTTGTAATCATGCGACTGCGTTCCTTCAGGTCCTCATATTCTTTCTTTGTCATGATCTTTGGATAGACCGTAGGCATCTTCGAAGGAATCAGATACTTTCTCGTATCGCTTTTATCCCTTATTTTTCTAACCTGAGATTCAATTAAATTGTTTAGCGCATATAGCAATAATAAACAAAGATGTAAAGAAACACTAAATAGTTTTCATAAAATATTATTTTTTGTGACAAAAAATATACAAGTCTTATTTTTTTTTTAATATGTATTTAATATCTCCAAATTTTGACTATTACAAATTAATTTTACATTTTATTTTTGATTTTATAATAATTTAGATTTGAATTCTTATTATTTTAAATAGATCGTATTTAAAATAGATTGCATTTAAATTGACCATATTTTATTTTTAATTAGATAAATTTTCAAAAAATTGTTCAACAAATCAAATTTGAACAAATTGTATTTATTATAAATATAGAAATATACTTTTTTGTATGTAATTTTTTAAGATGTATTTTACTTACTATTTTAATATAATAAAAAAACTCTCTAAAGTTTTTATATTTTTAATTTATTTTCTTTCGAAATTAATTTTTTTATAGGGAAATTTTTTTTATTATATTAACAGAAAAATATGGAGCAAAATAATATTATTAAATAAAAATAATGAAAGAAACTTTTTTTTAGTAGAATTTCGCTATTTTGCCGAAATACTTTATATATCCCAGCAAACACCAAGTAACAAGTTATATAATTTACATGTTATATAACAGTTATATTGTTGAGTGGGAAATTGCAACTAACACTTATATAACTGTTACTTGGTGTTTGCTGGAATATATATATATATATATATATATATATATATATACATAACATATATATGTAATATATAACATAAAATATAAATTATACATAAAATACTTTTTTCTTAATATATATTATAATTGAGCAAAAATATAATATATCGTATATGATATATAATATATGAAAATCTGCATTTCGCATATGATGGAAATAGACTATGTATATTACCTTTCCTTCATACGCATTACTTCTTAAGTAAATCGCTTCGTCATCGAGCATGTGGTTGCATATCGACGGAGGTTGAATTGTGTACACACCCGGTGGGAATTTCGAATCGCCATGGTATTCGAAATTGCTAGATCCCGTCTTTCGTACTGCAGTCTTATTGTTAGTTGACATGATAATCGTTTGTCTGATCGAATCGACTTTACCGGTTTTCTCGAGGGAAAAAAGCCAATCAAACGACAATTGTGAGTTGTAAGGCGTTGCGTGCACGACGATCCTTCATCAGGATGACCGATACTCCGAATTGTTGTCTTTGGGGACGATCGGACGACATGTACAGAATTGCGTACGTATTCACGGCGTTTTCTTCGTGGGCAAGACGACCTTTGATGACGGATGACCTTTGACACCGGCGACAAAACGAGAGAAGCTTAAGTAATCCGATAGGAAGGATCGCGGCAATCGGTATATCATCGTTGACTGTTTGTCGACGAGTAACCATTCCTTTGTTTGTTCGATAGGAGGAATTATGCCAAGGGATACAAGTGGTCGATCGTGTTACATGAGATCAGTGCCGGTCCTGGGTACTTGGCCGCCCGTGTGCAAAAATCCACTTTTCGTCCGTTAAAATTAAATTTTGGGAAAATACAAAAATACTCGTACTTCATATAGAATAAACAAATAATTTCACTTATAAAATATGTGTTATGTATTTTATTTTAATAATTATTTATAAAAAAAATAACAGAAACACAAATAATCTTTATATCTTTTAAAATATTCTAAAATTAAATAACAAAATAAATGTACCTACGTTTTCAAAATAATTCTAGCTTTTAGAGATGCGAATTCGTCTATCATTTCTGACAAGTCTATTTTATATCTTCTGATATTTCATGTTCAATAGAAATAAGTGCAAGACTTAGTCTTTCCTGGGACATCGTAGATCGGAGATAATTTTTAGTTTTGAGAAACTTCTCTCGTCAGATGCAACGGAAACTGGCAGTGTTAAAAAAATTCTCAGGGCAATAGTAAAATTTGGAAAACAAAGTATTAAATCAACATCTACGATTTTTTGTAAAATATGAAAGGGATTGTTCGATGCGTCAGGGAAAATTTCTCGGTACGACAATATTTCATTATATAACTGAATACCATCTAAATCCCTTTTTAACACATTATTTTCATTTGACTGGAATTTTATAGAGATCCATACATGATTTCATTAAAGAGCCATTATCCATCTTTTAAAACCATATAAAAAGCTAAACGGAGACTCACATTCATTTACTAATTCAAACCTTTGATCAAGAGAATTGCTTATGTGATCTGAAATGGTAAAAAAAAAATATATTTTAAAGTGCTGTTTAGGATCTGCAACCGAATCAGCTTTGCTTTCATAGAAAAATCACGTGGCCTTTTTATATGGCGAATTATAGGAAATTCTAGTTGTACGTTAATTTTCTCAATTTCAACGGCATTACTAATGAACATATTGAAACATTCATCGTTTCTTTTTTTAATAATGTAATTTTGGAGATTTTTTAAAGCATGAATTCGGCTAAGCTTATTTTTGGGTTTTGAAGCATTTTATAACAATATCTATCTTTGATTATAGAACATATAAATTTGAAAGAAGATATCTTTTGTGCCAGTGAATGAGCCATATTTTTTGTTTTTACATCTCGGATAGGATCATTCGTTAATTCAGATAAACTGTCAATGAATGTTCTTCAGATTAAGGCGTAATGGTCTTATATTATAGCTTTAATTCTGCTTTCTCATCTTGTTTCACTAAAACTTTTTGAGTGTTAAATTTGTAATGTGTTTCTTCAAAATATTCCATCGATATGTGGAAGGAGAAAAAAAGTTATATAATTCCTGAACAATTTAAAAAAAATCAAATATTTCCCCGCTACTGTTTGCCGCATCACTTACGACCAAATTCAAAGTATGAGCATTACAAGGAACAAAGAGTGCTCTTGGATTGATGTCTAAAATGCGCTTTTGCAGGCCAATATTTTTACCTCGCATATTGAATCCATTTTCGTAACCTGGTCCCCTAATATTTTAAACATCCAACTCATAATTTGACAATTTTTCTAATAGGAAGTTATACAATCCTTCACCAGTAGTATTCATGACGGGATAAAAATCCAAAAAAAATCGCGTATGTCGACTTGTTTATCTGAAGTATTTATATTTACACACTTTACAATAAATGTAATTTGTTCTTCTTTCGTTATTGCCAGTAATATTAAACTACAATTCATCTCTCTGTTTCCTAAATATAATATAAATATAATAAATATAAAAATAAATAAATATATATAAATATAAATAAATATATATAAAATTAAAAATTTTATTTATATTTACTAAATATTTATTATATTAAAAATTTTATTTTATTTATATTACATGTATATTGAACTTGTTATTTTAAATAGATAATGAACGAATAATTTTCATTAAGTAGCCAGACAATTTATTTGTCCGACTTATAAAATCGATTTAATATCTGAAGCCTCTCTATTGAGTTTGTATAAGAAATTAAATCGAAGTAATATTTCTAATTTTATCTGTCATTCTTTGCAAACTTCATATAATTCTCATGACTAAAACTAAATACGAGAGAGATAACGATCATAGCGGTAAAAACGAACGAATTAACGATTACTGGTTTTACAGTGAAATTTACTGGTTTTACAGTGAATTTTACTTTAACAATTGTTAACAATTGTTCTGATCGCGAAAGTCATGTTATATAAAAAATTTTAAAAGATTTTTTATGGGATCGATGTACATTAATAACAAAATAATCGTCACTTCATGATTGAAAAATGACGCCAAAATAATGTTATATCAAGACGTCAATATAAAGTCATGTAAAAAATCAGTTATTTTGACGACATACGACCAAAAATGACTAGTTGGAACGTCAAAATAACGTGTGCTTGCTACCTGGGTTAGACATGATCTCCACAAATATGCAGACAAACTTTAATTTATTTAATTTTTTTATAAAAAACTTTAATACTTCTGGTAACACACACACACACATGTCTCTGATTTAACAGCAGCTTCAAGATTTTATGTTCTTGTATTATTAATTAAGTAGTGATATACAATATATGCATATATATATATATATATATATGTGTGTGTGTGTGTGTGTGTGTGTGTGTGTGTGTGTGTGTGTGTGTGTGTGTGTATGTACGTGTATACGTGGGGACGTGAACCGCGCGCGTATGTGTGTATATATGTAGATGTATGGTTATTTTCCGAACATTCCGTATAATTCTCTCTCTCTCTCTCTCTCCCTTTGTCTACATAAAATATAAAGGAAACAACTCTTTTACGGATCACAAATACATAGAAATTATGTAAGAAAGAAGCATATAAATTGTGCGTAATTTATCGTTTCTGGCTTATAAAATAAGGATGATGGTTTGCGTGACGCATGCAAAAGACGAGAATAAAGGAGAAGAAAAGAAAAAGGGAAACTCTTTGCAGGCAGAACGTGAAATTACATTTATCGATACATATGCGTACACTTATCGCGTGAGTGAAATTAAGCGAAGGCCACGCAATGGTAGTTAGATAAGACGAATAAAACAGATGTAACTTACACTATTTGAAACGCATTTATTATTACTTTTTTTTTTAAACGCAAGCGCTTGATTGATATTATCATTACTGAAAGATAAAAACTAGAGACATATATACATACTAATATCCAATAAAATATATTACATATTTTTGATGTAATTACGAAATAAGATGGATATTTATTAAAAATGCTACATCGCGATATTCAATATTGCAACCCCTCCATTTCTTATTGTCCGCTTGCTACGCACTCTTACCCTTACACTTGACCTTCACCACCAGTTACCATGAGAACGTAATTCATGCCTAGACTCGAATTATATATATATATATATATATATATATATATATATATATATTATATATATATATTATATTCATATGTTATATATATATAACATATGAATATAAATTATACATATGAAAAGAGTAAAGCATATATATATATATATATATATATATATATATATATATATATATATGCTTTACTCTTTTCATATGTATAATTTATTTCTCATCAATGTGAAATCATTACTTTTTTCTTTATTGCTTTTATCTTTTTCCTTTTCTTCTCTTCTTCTCGTAATTTCGCATATTATATTGTACGAGCAAAAACTGCTAATATAGTATATAGAATAACTCAAGTCTAATAATTCGGAAATGATACATTAACATTGGAAGTAATAATTATCTGATCAATAAGTAGAAATAGAGGTTTTGCGTAAGTTTAATTAAGTTTTCGAACAACAAAATTTAAGAGATAAAGATAAAGATATAGATCGATAAAGATAAAAATTTAAGAGATAAAGATAAAGATATAGATCGATCGTTATATCTAGGGGCATTTTATATACAGGGTGTATCTGAAATGATGCACTAAACTTTAGGAGCGTATTCTAGAGATCAAAATAAGACTTTTTTCCTATGAACATGGATCCGTTCTAGAATACGCTCCTAAAATTTAGTGAATTATTTCAGATACACCCTGTATAAATTTAATTTAATTTTGAAAAATAAAATTTAAGTTTTAAAAGAGAGGAAAAAAGAATTTGATCTAATTAAAAAAAAAGAATACCTTTTATAAAAAAACACAATTTTCTCTTTGAAAAAGTATGAAAATTGAATATATTTTATTTATATATTAATCGTACACTTGTATACAAGATAACCCAATATAATCTATAAATAGATTTTTCTCGGGGAATAATAAGTAGATCTATAAATAGATTTTTCTCTGGAATAACAAATGATAAAAGAGGAATAAAGATTAAATTGTTTCAAAATGGATATCAGAGAGAGAGAGAGATACTATACTCGTTTATTTGAAAGAATGGAAGCGTTTTGGATATTTTAAGGTCAATTCTTTTTTTTTGACAGAACTATCTATTTTTTTAACATAAATTATATTTCATATAAGTATACTTATATTTATAAAAATATAAAAGTAAAAGATATTTTTTTTGAAAAATAAATATTTCAGGAGACATTTTAATTTTTCGTAGCATACTTTTTATGTAATGTTTGTTTTACGAAATGGAATTAACTATGATTTTTGTAAATGTCAATTTAATTTTTTTAAATGGGCTTCCATAATTTTTTTTGTACAAAACAATTCCTCGTAATATTCGGCATAAAGAGTTATCAAGCTGGAGTTACAAAATTAAAGTTTATGAGATATTTAATATTTTAATTTGATATAAACTATACAAAATTTCATAAAATATTCGTTTTATTGATTGTCTTGCTTTAATATTTTTATGAACAAAATATAATGAGGAAAGTCAATTGGTATAAAAAAAACATAATTATTTTCAAAAAAAAATATACTCGCGTTACAAATTTATATATATATATATATATATATATATATATATATATATATATATACATACACACACACACACAAAGTTTCCATATAAAGATGCAGATCTCACGATGCAACCACTCACCGTCACAAATGACTCGGCGCGTGGCTGCGGACTGATTACAATGCCATCGTGGCGCAGTGGTTGTCGTCATCATCCCCCCGTTATCGTTGATCTGAGAGAGTTACTAACGACTGCGAACCCCCATCGACGGTAACGACCCCGTAACGTACCACGTGGCGCTGCTATGTGTACCTTGGGACGCGACAATCGCACTCGCGTGCGGCACACCGGTTTCGGCGCATCGCGGTCTGTCGCATCGACGTCGCCCATCCTTAGACAGGTGAAATTACACTAATAAATTTTAGACCGCTTCAAGACGACTTCAAGTGATATACATACAATGGATTATCGATAACGCTTGTCTTTCACGATATATAGAGAAATACATTATTTTTCCTGAAAAATTCAATGAAAACAAAAAATAAATATTAAAACTCTCTTGCCTTATTTTTGTTAATTTGTGTAAATATAATTTTTTTTTTTTTTTTTTTTTTTTTTCAAAACATAATGTTGGTGATGAAATATGCCAGTGAATGCCTCTACATTGGATCGAAAGTGAATCTTTTGACAATGCAGTCCGATTAAACAACGAAGGTAACTGGATATGTTTGTATGAGAGTTTGACTCTACAATTCGCCGATCTCCTAGTGCAGATCCGTTTACAGGAGATCATGTGCGTGCAAGATGATGGCTTGACTGTCATCATCGGGAAATGATAATCGCAGGATATTCTGAAATTTCCCTTTCTATCGGGTGAGTACACGTATATTTTTTTATTTAAAATATATTTAATAATTAAGTGCCTCTGTTTCAATCTTCTCGATATTTTCAATGAAACATCCATATTTTAACTGTCCAACCTCGATCATAATATTTACGAAGCGTATACTTTACCTTTCAATTCGTTTAATTAAACAAGAGCGATTAGACATGGAGAATTATACTTAAAAATTATATTTAAACAAGTCAATATAATTCGCATTATAGAAAAAATATACATTTTATCTATTATCATTTGTACCATTCGTCCTGTTCATCAATCGTACATTTGTTAACCCATCTTCATTACTCCAATATTTCTCCGAAATCACTTTCACATTTCTTTAAGAAAGAAATCTCTTCTGCTGCCGTTTGACACTTGCTGTCATAAGAACTCAAACATATCAACGCAAAATCGCGATATTTCATCAGCTATCCATTGGGACTTTCTGCGAAACTTGTTTTCAATCAATATTGGCTCCGTTTTTGTATTAAGCGCACTATACATTCTATAAACGCAGATATGGATATATTACCGGTGAAGCTTTTCCGAAGTGAGCGGAATTACGAACTGACTAACGATTTCCTCATGCCGATTTCTTATCCGGATTTTATCGATATTTGTGAAAGAAGGATGTCAATGACCCTTATATACATACGGACGTAGATATCGTGACGAGAAGCGAAGGCGCACATAAAGCTCTATCTATAGACATAGTGTTCATCGCGTAGCCATACATCGTCGCACATATACAACGTCATTGGCGTTGTCACAACAAAGACTCCCCCCCTCCCCTTCCCTCTTCAAGGAACGGCCGATATCTCTTGCACTCTCGCATCCCCTTTTCCTATAAATTAATTAATTAAAATTGAATCTAATAACAATACTTATACACGCTGTAAATATATAATAATTCCCCATTCCCCATTAAGCTGGAAGCAAATCAATATCGTGTCTCAAAAGCATGAAGGAATATACATATATTCTCCGGCAAATAATCTTTCGTGCATTCTCCTTCGGGATCCTTCCTCGAAATTATAATACATATATTATTGGCTGGAAAGTGGCAAGAAACGACACTCTCTTATAGATGTCAAGTGAGGTGGTACTAGGTTGTATATTCTTAAACGAAGTTATATAACACAGAAGTACACCAAGATACGCGTAAGCGTAGAAGAGAGGGAGGAAGAATGTAAATTATGAAAGAGCTTCTTTCCAAATAGGTTCTATTCTCTCTCTCTCTCTCTCTCTCTCTCTCTCTCTCTCTCTCTCTCTCTCTCTCTCTCTCTCCCTCCCTCCCTCCCTCTCTCTCTCTCCCCCTTTTCTCTCTCCTTGTCTGATTATATGCACGTTGCATTAACATTATCCGCGAAGGGTACATCTTCGTTTATCCCCTTCGTATTGACCATACACGTTCGAAAGTTCTCCGGCCTCAATTTACGGAGAACAACATATATAGAAATTTCATTTTTTGCAACAATATCGAAACGATTTTCTCAACTCGAGAACGACATTGTTATGTAAACGAGTTTCATGCTCGTTTTACAAAACTCATCGAATGGCGAAGGTCAATAAAAAAAGACGACCCTATGAAAATAATAGCCCTATTTATCTTTCGATAATAGCTTTCTGGAATAATTGTTTCATTTCTCAAAAAGATCGATATTGAAAATCTAATAATTGATTTAAAATGATCGTGTATCGAGCTATAGAAAAATATAAATTAAAATGAAGAACTGGGCGTGTGCGTCAAGTTTTACGACGGCGCTTGGTCTCCATTTTTTTTTTATCATCATGGACTTATCGTTAATCCTTGAACGGCCGTACAACCGCATAAAATTGTAGATAAAGGAAGCATTAACACGGCTCTCATGACGCCCAACAATGTTGCTTAACGTGTTTTACAATCACACAAGCATTTAGATATCAAGCGCTATTCGTAGAGACTTGCTGCAGAGAAAGAGAGAAATATATCTTTCTACAGAATCAGAACATTGTTAAATTTCGTGAACATCGGTCCTCGATTCTAATAAGAAATAAATGCCTCAAGTCGGGCAGGTGCGTAACAAAAGAAAAATAAATTGCAGAGGGACATTAATGTGATCGACTCGCGACTGTCCCTTCTCTTCGTCCTTCCGTCTGCGCCAGAAGATGCGCGTCCTGAACGGCCAATTGAAATACGCCTGTCGTGTATCGAAGGGCTCCTGAAAGGGAGGCTAGTCGTAACGCGTGTGGTGTTAAATAAAGAGGGGAGAAGAATACAACACGCACATGTTGCACGACCCACTCTCATCGTCTCCCCCCTCCCCCTTCGCTAACGGGCCCGCTTCTTCGCATGACAGTCTACATTGCAACTTTGTGACACGTCTGAGGTACCATCGTTCGCAGTATATCGCGTTTCCACAAAACACGGAGGATGATGTTCACCGTGGCAAATTTTGCTCGCATTCGCCACGATGTCGACAAGAACAGAACGCATTCTGTTTTCTACATGGTCGCTAAAAATTCTGGTGTACTTTACAGAGTTGATATATTTTGAGATGCCATTGGAAAATTTCTTAAAGATTAGACAAAAATTGAAATAAAAAAAGAAGAGATAAGAAACGCGTTCTTATAAAGAAATTCATAAAAGAAAGGAAGAAAGAAGAGAACAAGAGAAGAACAAAAATGTGAGGTTTCGCGTTGTTAATCTTTTACAGTTTATCGCGAGGTTGGTGGTCTCCAATTGGTGACTGGTGATGACATGTGATTCCTGGCGCAATGTGATATGGTGACGTAAGATTTGGTGTGAAGTATATATTAACTCGTCGGTGCTAAAGATCGAAAGCGATAGAAAGTGATAAAAAAGATCTCCACTCGAAAGTCGACGTGTTTATGATGATCACGCGGAAAAATATTTTGATTCGCGATTTGTGTGTTTGTATAAAAATTACTTTAACGTAATATACATTGATGAACAATTGATTAATCAAATAAAATGTTATTTGCCGATTTTCACAACATCTCGATTTTATAATTATGCACGATCGTATCACTTTCGTGATATTCGTTTAACGATTCGATATCTCAACGCAAAGATAATTTGCATCTATACTTCTTTTATTATCGAAACTGACACGAACGATGTAAAGTCGATGAAATGTATGCACGGTCTCTTAATTGGTATAATAAGTCAAAATACTATAATAGCTTCTCTTACAATTGGTAATCTTTAACAAATTTTATTATACTTATATTTTAAAAAAATAATATCAAAAATATATAAACAAAAATATATAAAAATATATAAATGGAAAAAGAATATTATGCTCTTTAAATATTCTCTCTCTCTCTTTCTTTCTCTCTCCAAGATACCTACATACATACATACATACATACATACATACATACATACATACATACATACATATATATATATATATATATATATATATATATATATATATAATAACGTTTATTAAAAAAGAGAGAAAAAGAGAGACGATGGAAAGGAACAAATTAAATAAAAAAAACATTTAATTGATTAATTGTTTTATATGCAATCAATTGTTTTATCAATAATTATGATAAGCTACTTAATGTAAACTTAATATATAGGGATTTAATATAGAGGGAATACTGATGTATTTCGTATTTTAAACGATGAACTCGTTTCCCCCCCCCCCCCCCATTTATTGCTGGTAGTTTTGTTTAAGTGTTGATTATTCCATTATTTAAAAAATATATTCACGGCCTAATTGCGCGATGTTAAGTTGAATATAAAGTAATTATATTTTATACAAGCATGCGTGTGTACGACGAAAGTTTTTAATACAGAGTCTTTTTTTCGATATTCGATTGCTTTGAGGGGCTTATGCTTTCAACTTTTTCCTAACTCGGCGCGATTGTGAATTTCCGTGCAGTAAAAAAAAGGAAAAATGCGTGTATGCATCGAACAAGTAAAAAAAGAAAAGAGAGGGAAAGAGAGAGAGAGAGAGAGAGGGTGGGAATGGAACAAGAGAGGCGTGCATCGCGTGCGAAACGTAATTTCTCCCTTTTTCGTGTGTATTGCACAGCGCGTAAGAGAAACGATCGATAAAAATCGATAGGAAGAGAAACTCTAACGAAAAAAAGAAAGAAAAAAAAACACCATCTAGAACAGTTGACATGTAGCACACGAAGCTTTGCAATTATTGCCTTCCCTTTCACGAAGCGATCGTCTCTCCCCTACATATGTATTATTTGCGTCGCGAGACTTTGTTCAACTTCATCGACCAAAATTGATAAAGTACAGTGTTGGTTCTTTAATACTTAATTACTCTTCTCTCCCTTCTTCTTCTTTCAATTATAATTATTATCATAGTATGTCTTGTAAATGGAAAGGAAGATGGGATGAGCTGTTCCATCTATGAATTTAAATACGACCGGAACACGAAATCTAGCGATATATTCCATTTACTGAACAATCAAAAAATTCCTCCTCATGTCGCTCAATTATAACGCGTAAGAAATAAAAAAAGAAGACAATGCGATCACACGATCATCACTCGGATGTCACGTTAAAGCCGCGAAGGAAAAAACCGTCGAAAGAAAAATCTGATCAATCGTCCACGGAATCATCTTGCTGGCCTAACGTCATGATATCTCACGACAAAAAATCACACGATGAATCTAATGATCCCGAAAGCAATTTATCCCGACTCGATTCCCCTGTTAACGACTCCAACGTTGTCGTCTACGACATCGTCGAGCTTCTCTGCGACGGGAATAAAGAAGAAAGGCCGACTTGTCCACGGATCTTCAGCTCGAAGGAATTCGAGAAGCAAGGCGTGTGTTCCACATGCAAAAATTGCGCAGAATGCCAGCTACAGCAGCAGCAGCAAGATTGCGCTGTCGCAAAAATACGTAAGACAAAAGAAGAAGAGGAGGAGGATCAGGACGAAGACCTGACGGAACATTTGGATTATTACGAAGCCGAAGTTGTCGGCGGCGAGACAGATTCCATGGTTGCCTCGATTGAACACGAGAAATCACCGATTCTCGTAGATCTGACTAGCGAAGAATCGAAGCAAACCACTTGGAAGCAGACGATCCTGAAGCGATTCGGCGGCACCGAAAAGAACTCAGAGATGGCGGGTGAGAATGTGATAATGAGCAAAAGCGGTTTCACGCAATTACCTCCCCCTCGTCAATCTTCACTAATTTTGATGTCCAATATTTTCTCAAGAATATACATATGATAAGTCGTCATATGTACTCTGTATGTATGTAAAAACAAATAGTTGCATAAATCGTACAATATCAAACAGCCATATGCATAAATTGATATTCAAATTCTTCTTGTCTATTCCAATATCTGTTTTGTTGAAGCTCGAGAAATATAAACACGGAAAATTATTTTGCCGTTTTTATGTGTTTCTTCATGGTACGAAAAAAATATAAAAAGTAAAAAATCATATTAATAAGATTGCAATATAAGGCTTGAAAATTTTTAGATTTGTTAAAAAAAATGTCAGAAATATAATTCTCTCTCTCTCTCTCTCTCTCTCTCTCTCTCTCTCTCTCTCTCTGTGTGTGTCTATCTTTCTATCTATCTACCGCCATATATTAAAATAAATTAAAATTTCCGTCTATATTTTGATATGTATTAAATTAATTGCATATTTTCTGAAAATATTGCTCGAAAATTTATTGAAAGTCTCCACGATAGAATGTATCTCAAATATGGCAATGAAATTTTAAAATGTTTTTCTGGAAAATTTTTCGATGGGGATTATCTTATTGAGATTTTATCCCTCGCCTCTCCCTTAAAAAAACATGGAAAATCTGGTCTCAATCTTCTCAGGGATTTCTTTTATATTTGAAAAAATCAAGGAATTTTATTTGGATTCAAGAAATTTAAAAGAAAATTCTCTCTTTAATAATTTTGTTCTTATAAGCAGTTGGCAATCTACCGATAAACCTAGTGTGAATTATGTATTTAAAATATATTGTAAATATATATCTCTGTTTATGGTATCAAAAAATCTTATAAAAATTATTTAATCTGTTTATATAACGCTTTAATAAAATATATGCAGTACATATTCTTTATTATAATTTTTAATGATAAAAGATGAAAATATTATGCAAGTGAAAATGTTTATCTTACAAAAACTGTTCAATTTTTTTTTTCATTTGCAAATTTAATATTTGAAACTCAAGTAATTCCATATTCTTCCTTCAGAAAAACATAAGAAAACGCATATAAAATAAACAAATTTATTTTAGAAAGTTGAAACCAAAAAACCCTTAGAAAAAACCTTTAGAAAAATTATTTTCTTTAGCTAGAATTTTGTACAAAAATCCCTGGAAAATAAAAAAATTTTTTTTATAAAATTTAAGTGGTTTATGCTGAAACCTTTCAAAAGTATATTTCTGAAGAATATATTTTACGACAAAGCTATTCTTGGATAATAAGTTCTTGAATAAGAGTAATGATTCAGCCATGCAGCAATGCAAGCTAGAAGCAATACTCTCTTCTGGCGGTATAAAAAAGATATGTTCATGCAAATCTCGCGAATAATTATCATATGAATTGATATCTCTTATTTGAACTTAAATAAGAGTAAAAGTAACTTCATTAAAGTATATCAGAACTTTCCAATCTACTCGTGAGAAGTTCCAGTGTATATTCTTTTCTATGTCATGCCGAAAAAATTCTAATTCTAAGTTCCGTTCTTTCCCAGAATCTCGCATCATGATAGCCGACAGTTCCAGCAGACTGCAACGTGGTACGGGCGGCAGTTTGGCGACCGCCTTAAGGGATCGTGGCCCTTGCGTGATTCCCGTGCAACCTAATCGCTCCCTACCGATCCGACCGGCACCCCCAACGCCGACAAGATCGGCATCGCTCGTGACATCGCGTTCACCGATACTTAAATTGTCAAAATCGCAAACGTCGAATCTCGAAGATATGGTCGAAGTGCAATCGGATATATCGTCTTCGATGTTGACGGAGGATTCGAACGAATTCCCTCCTTTTGGGCAACAGAATGAAAACGGCATATTCACGATTGATCGCTCGGATCGCTACAGTCTACCACATATTTCAACTAACGCCGTACAGGTAGCAAAGCAAACTTGGAGATCAAGTTGTTTTTTAGTTCTTTTTCTCTTAAAAAAAATAGATTAAGTAAAAAAACAATTATTTTTGAATTTACTATATTTTTAACATACACATGAGACTTTTCTATCGTTATGTTAAAATAATTTCGGATTGCAATGCGAATTGCATGAATTTGTATAAACTGTCTCTCTGTTATCTGTTTGTGAATTTAAAATTTATTATTAAAATAATTTCTCGTGTAATAATATATATTATCAATATTTTGCTCTTTTATATTTGTTTTATATATTAACTATATTATTTTTATTATTTTATTATTATATTAATTATATTATTTGATTATTAATATATTTATTTTCTATTATAGTTCGTTATATATAGTTACAGCTATTCTAAAATAAGTAATATGTTCGCGGATCGAAATTGAAGATTAGAGTCAATCAATAATTATTGATTTTAATTATACGATATTTTAAATATCGTATCATTAATATAATTGTATGACTTAGTGACTGTTATTATTACAGACAAAAGAGATGAACAATGTTAAGAAAAAATCCGGTGAAGATAGAGACAGAGAATACGAGAAGGAACTTGCTAAAAACGTGAAGAAACGGAGGAAATCTCACGAAGTGGATGCCAATTATGTACGCGATGAACGTGTCAAGAATATTTTAAAAGAATACTCTAAAAATTATTCGAATAATTTGATTGACAAAGAAGAAAGGAGATCGCAGCAGCACGTGGTGATAAAAGTGTGGGATGATAAAAGATATTCGTCATCGGTGGTAGTATCAACGACGGAGCCTGAAGGGGAAAAAACGAAGGAAATTTCAAATAAAGTCGTGCCTCCTTTAAGACTGAAAAAAATCGTGCGCGAAGGTATGTCGTTTTTTTAGATTCGATGCTTCTGATTACACAGGTCTACAAGGTTTTGTTGTTGGGCAGCTGGGGATCGTTTCCGAAATAATTTTCTGCGTAGAATCCGAATCCGAGATCAGAATTGGCCCATCACGTCAGGATTTTGAGATATTTGAGGTTATATACTCGAAAAATGGCTTTTTGGGCTACTTTTGAGGTTATGTACAGAACGCACAAAATTTTTTAGCTCTTTTCTTCTAATTACATCATTTAGTATTATTCTTTGCCTTCAAAATGAGCTGTCGAATGGTCATCTACGATTTTTCCTTGCAAAGTTACGGCCATTTTAAGATGACATGAATTCCAAATCCTGCACCGTTATAGCCTAACAATCTCATGAGCATTCGCATTAAACCTGTAAACTTTGAACTATAAACCCGAAAACCTGGATTGAAAACTGTATATATAGATTTTTTGGGGACGCTGATAGAGAATTTGAAATCAGATTTTAAAAATTCAAGATCTGATTTCAAATTCTCCATCAGCGTCCCCAAAAACGTATATATACAGTTTTCAATCCAGGTTTTCGGGTTTATAGTTCAAAGTTTACAGGTTTAATGTGAATGCTCATGAGATTGTTAGGCTATAACGGTGCAGGGTTTGGAATTCATCATGTTATCGTAAAATGGCTGTAACTTTGCAAGGAAAAATCGTAGATGATCATTCGACAGCTCATTTTGAAGGAGAAGAGTAGTACTAAATGATGCAATTAGTAGAAAAGAGCTAAAAAAACTTTTGTGCATCCTGTACATAACCTCAAAAGTAGCCCAAAAAGCCATTTTTCGAGTATATAATCTCAAATATCTCAAAATTCTGACGTGATGGACCAATTCTGACCTCAGATTCGGATTCTACGCAGAAAATTACTTCGGAAATGACCCCCAGCTGCCCAACAACAGTCATGACCCCATTTTTTGTAGACCTGTGTTATTTATTCCAAGTGAATTATTTATCTTATTCATAAATTCTTCATAGCCAGAAGACAATCGGAAATTTTTCGTAGAATTAAACATTTAAAAAATGTCGTATTTGCGTGGATATGTTAAAAATAGTTTTCTTTTTCAAATTATTATCTAATAGTTGTTTGATTTAATTTTCAGCGAACACTACCAACGAATATCACAATGTTGAGATGAATACCGGAAAGTCGGAGAACGAATCCAACTATCGCATTGTCACCGGCGCCACGCCACGTCCGGAATCGCCCTTCGAGTATTCCACCACTTCTTTCTGGAGCAGCGTAATCTCGGAGAACGAGCTTAGCGAATCGTCAACGCAAGATAAGAATCGGCGATCCTCGTCGAAGAGTGACGGCTACAAAATCAAATATCGTCGCAACCGGCTGCGTCAAAAGCTGCGGGAATTACGCGGCAAAGCATTGGAACTCTCACGGGAGATGGTCGAGTGCGACAATGTTGGCGAAATGAGCCCACAGCATAGCACTCGGCTGCGTCAAATGATGAATTGCTATGAGAAACAGATCGAGAATATCTCGAAGCTATTGTGCAAACTGTCTGCTTCTATACCATCAACGACCGATGATAACATCGTCGTTGATCTTGACTATGAATTGGATGAGCATTCGATTTCAGTTAATAGAATCATTGATGGTGACATCGTGCAGGTAATGGGATAAAATAGTTGTTGCAAAATCCTTCTTTTTTTTAAATAAAATAATCTTTTTATTCGTCGATAAGAGCGTAATTGAAATCGTTTTTGATGAATAAAAATTCACTTTATTTAATTTTTGCATAATAGAAGATTTCTTCGATTCTTTTATATGATGTCATTTCCACTAACGATGTATATATATGTTGAAAAGGTAAACGGAGTATCCAGAAGCAGTATTTCCCCATCTCCTTCTCCGGAACCGCCGAAGCTATCACCTCCTATCAATTATGAAAGAGGTAAATCGCCTGATGCAATGAGAGATAGTCCACCGGTGTTACCTAGAGTTTATATCGCGATCCAACCAACTTCGTTGGAGTGTATGAAACAAAATCTTGGATCTACCACTAAGAGCTGGCACGCAGACGACAGTTCGTCGAACTCGACAATCGAGAAGGATGTGAAGATGGATGATACGAATCAAACGATAATTCGCGATCGTGTAACAAGAGCACCAACAATTGTATCTTCAGTTTCATCGTCCGAAATCGAAGGCGTGGAAAGTAGTACAGCAGAATGGGATAGAGAAGAGGCCTCGCTGAAATTGAAGAATCCGGAAATTAAGAAGAAAATCACAGAAGATACGAAAACATTCGATGACGTTCATCAAGCAACATCATCAATATCTTCGGATAACTTTTCGATAGGTTCAACGATGGATCTCGAGATAGATGGAAGCGATGTAAGAGATACAAAGGAGGGATCGAGTACTCAAATTGGACATCTTAACGAAGTAATGCAGATCTTGGAAACTGGCGCGAGCAAACAAATTGTTTACGAGAAACAGGAACCGGATCAGAGATCGAACGAAGCTTTATCTTCATCCAATCCGATTGTCGAAGAAACTAAAAAGACTACGGAATACGGAAGTTATCAATCGGAAGAAAGGATCAACCGTGAGGATAAAGCGGTCATAAGCGCGGTCACTGCTGTGCAGGATGCTGTGTCAACGATAGCAACCGGACGATCGCAAGTACCTACCGCCAATGTAACTAATATCTTGCAACTACAGTCAAATTATTATGGTTCGTCCGTCGCGCGAGATAACGTCGTTTTTACAGGCGTCATACAGAATTCAAAAGATGCGCAGAAGGTAAACTCTTATATAAAGATCTTGCTCTTTTATCTAAAATTATTGTATATATTAAATTGTTATCAAGTACTAAAATTCAAAAACTTATGTTTAGATGAAAAATAAAACAAATATGCAATTAATACAATTTGTTGAAATTAATTTGCATAGACATTTTTTAAGTTTTTTTCTTGCTTTTCTTCTTTTAAATATTTTTCTGCGAATTAATGCACATAATAATTTAATTAGAGTAATTAATAAATGAGATTGCTCTATATTTACTATCAATAATCTATTTTTTATTTCTTTTTATTGCGAAAGCTTGAATCATTTTGGAAAAGTAATTTTAAGAAATTGAAGTGCATTTGACATGCTTCTAGATGATGACATCAAACATGAATCAACCTAAAGCATTAGATTCAGCAATGTCCTTGGGATTTACTCAATCTGGATCTACAGTTAGCAGTTCGAATCAACAATGTATCGTGTAAGTGTTGTGATTTTATATACTATAAAATACATGCTATACAAATTTAATTTCTATTAATACAAAATTAAAAAAAAATAATAATTAAAATGTATAATAATATAATATTATAGATAATAATACAAATTTAACACGCGTTTTTTTCTTACGTATTAGTTTGCCTAATAGTTGCAACAGCAAAATTATTCAAGAACCTATAAGTCAGCGAAACGACGGAAATCGCATCATGACGGAACAATTTCCTACATTAGGCAATTGGGTAGCGCGAATGTCAAAAAAGCAGGTTACCAAATCCAAGTCCAAATTACAATCTGGAGTTACCTTACCAACAGCATCGACGGCAGAAGCTGCTCGTGTTAGTATATCTCCATAAATCCTGCTTGTTACAGTAATATAACGTGGAAGTAACAAATAATATAATGGAAGTTATCTATATGATATAAAACTGCAATATATCATACGTATTATTTTGCAACAATAATGTAACAAAATATTATTATTACAATATATTGTTATATACATGTTTCTACACTTACTATTACGCGATGAAAGATCCAGATTTAACTAACTTGTATTTAATTTCTTATCATGAATTAGATATAAAGCTTATAAAGAGTATTAGTACAAGATCTAAAATATCTATCTCTTTTTTGTATTTCTAATATAATTCCAACAAAGGATTTGAAATATTAAACAAATTATTTGAAATTGAATGAGTCAATGGAAAATAATTTAATTATTGCGTATTATTGAAGCAAAAAAGCAAAAAATCGAAATTTCTAAATTAAATCTTGAATTTTTTGTAAATTAAATACATATAATTTATTTTATTTATTCAATTAACAATTTTATATATGAACAATATTCTATATAATAACAATATAACATTATATTACATGTTGAGTGGGAAATTACAATTAATCAGTAAGTTATCGGCAGCACTAATGTATGTTACTTGCAATATTACGCTTTATTGTTTCTATATAACATTAAGGAATGTAACAGTGTTTACTGGATATCTCTTACCAAGAAGCTTGATTACTTTTCTTTGATAATAAAATAGATTATTGAGAATTTCTGATTGTGCGTATGCAGGTTCCCGGATTGGAAACGCAAAAGACCCGTGGAAGCACACCGAGTAATTCGACACGAAACAATATAGTTAACGTAGCACCGCAATGGAATACGGAAAGATGGCAGCGTCAACAGCATCAACAACGTCAGCAACAATTGTACACGGCAGCATCATCCGCAGCACCTGCAGTGAGACCAGCTATCTGTCCTCCCCTCTCGGTTACTCAATTCTATCCACCTAATTACGCGGTAAAAAATGATAATTTTTCGACACATTATCAATTAAACAAAATACTAAGGATAATTATCTGTGCAAATCAATTGACGATCTGATAGGATTTTTTGAGAATTTTTTGATTAATGCTTTTTTTAGATACTAAAAATAAAGATATTTAGATACTATAACAAAGTATTTCTTCATTGAGTCTTCTCGATTATGAAGCTTGAAATCATTTCTTAATTTTACATAAACCATAAAATATCTAGTAAAATATTTATTTTTCGATTATCTTACTTTTTCGATTATAATACTTTTATGTACAAAATAATGAGAGGAATCAATTGGTGTAAAGAAAACACATAGTTGTTTTTAAAAAAAATATGTAATTGTTAATTGCAAATTACATATTTTTTTTTAAAAAACAATTATGTTTTTCCTTTACATTAATTGATTCCTTTTATTATTTTATATATAAAAGTATTAAAGTAAGATAATCAAAAAATGAATATTATATTAGATATTATGGTTTATGGTTTATGTAAAATTAAGAAATTTCAAGCCTCGTAACTCGAAAAATACTCAATAAAAAAATACTTTATTATAATGTTTCGGAAAGTTCTTGAGATAAGTTACAAGAATATGTAATAAAAAATAAGAAGTTCCATTTAAATTGAAGATTACCTTCACGTGACCTTAAAAACATTCTTTAAGATCATAGTAATATTATTATGTAATGCGTCATTTAAAACCCTACAACATTTGTTTGAAACATTTTTCCACAAGACTTCTATTTTCGGAGATAATTGGTTCCAGACGTTTCCAGACTTTTGACACACCTTGTATGTAATAGTAACATTCTTGAGTGGGCAATTATAACATTAATGTTAAGTTGCTGTTGTTTACTATTATATATAATGCGGAATTTTATATATAATATTGCATCGCACTTGCTGCTATATGGCAAAATCAGATTTTTAATTTTAGCCTGTATTTAATTTTTTACCATGAAATGCATATAAAGAATGATACTAACATAAAATTAAAAATATATTTCTTTTTGATCAGTTTAATTTCTAATACACAATCCTCACAAATTCAAAATATTATTATTAATTCAAACAAATTATTTAAAATTGCGAAATAATCCTTACTGCCTATTTAAAATAATATTTCTGCACATGCATATCCAAAAGATGTTAAAAAAATATTTCGAAGACATCTTTGACAGGAAAAACGTCTTCAGAATGTTTTTTGAATATATATACGTTATATAATATTAATATAACAGTGTTTACTTGGATATTAAACTCAAAATGTTATTACATTTGCGCAAAAAATATATGTGTCTTTTCCCGAGGCCAATTGCATTTTTGAATCATTTATATCTATTTTATATCAAATTAAAAAATTCAGTCAATGTGGTGGTTACAAGAAAAAATCTAATAATACTGTGTGGTTTTTTCTGCCTAATTTGTACACTCAACAATCTATTTTATATTTTTGAAATATGTGTATTATATTTATAACATCTATCAACATTTTACTATATATTAATCAGTTGCATAGAAAGAATTTTGCTTACTATAAATATAATTTCATCATTCATAATACGATAAATATAACGTATTTCTTTATTTATCTTTGCAGATTGATCCTTATGGCGGTGCGGCTTTCGGTTACCACTCAGCAATATGTCCCTATGGCGATTATTCTTATCATTCACGCCTTCATCCCGCTCCATCCTCAATAAGCGGTTATCCAATAAGTCCGTTACAGGATCCGCAGCATCCCGCTTCTGCGCTTCGTCAGATGCAGCATCTCGATAAGCGTTTCCCTGGACACATACAGGACGCGGCAACTCGCCACTACTCCGCTACAGATCTCCTCAAGTATCCTGGTTCATTATCCGCGGGTGGTTATCAGCACGCTGCTGCTGCCGCCGCCGCCGCCGCTGCCGCCGGCTTGGACTACGATCATAGATTGAGAACAGCCGCCACCCAGAATGGGACTGCATCGGCCTGTCTGCCATCGCTTCTGCTACCGCCACCTCCGCCGTTAGCAGCCACCGCGCAACATGGTACCTTGGCAGCGCGTACCGCTCTAAGCGGCTATCCTACCGCGAGTAATGGTCAATGCAGCAGGAACAGAATGATCCCGGATGTAGTTGCTGCGGCGGCGGCAGCCGCGGTGGTCGCAGCAGCTTCCTTCGGCCGACAACGCGGTGGTACGGTTCTACCATCATACAGTAGAACCGATGCAGAAATGGTAATGTCTGGTGGTATTGGTGGCGTTATGGATAACGAATCCTCACAGTTGATGGCAACAAATAGACCAGCGGTTGCGAGTCGCGAGCGCTTGTCACAAGAACCGGTGCAATCCGTCGCTGGCGTCAACGTAGATTCAACGCGATTGAATAACAATGGTTACTGCCAACTACAGAATCTCATTTTAGACCGAATACCTTATGTGAAAACGGATGATGTCTCTTATTCTCAACCGCCCTCCACCATTTTCGGCGACAATATGCAGGAATCAACGTCTTCGGTACCTGCCACATCGACTCCCTACAAATCTACTCCGATCTTGACATCCAACAGCACGTTGAGTGTCAAGGAATCCACGAGAAAAGAGAATCGTAACTGCGAAACGCCACATCTAGGAAAAGTGAACCGCACTCTGGAGACTACAAACAGTTTGGAGTGCTCAAATTGTGGTCTAATTGGTTCCATGTTCAAGTGCCTGGGCTGCGAAGCAGCCTTCTATTGCGACGAGAGGTGCCAAACTCGTCATTGGAATATTCATGTGGAGAAGTGCCCCAAAAGAATGCCTAAGCTGAAAAAACTTGTTTGAGAGTATCATAAAAATATAACGAAAATCGATGATTTGTAAATAAATGCTCATGCCAAATGAATAATATTCGTAATCAACTAATAACTAACTAAAAAATGTGTGAATGGATGTATTACTGTTTCGATATATGTATATTTTCACTGATAACTTATATATGTTATTTATATATATTATATATCTCTCTAGTCAGAGTAAAATAACGAATGCAAGAGTATTCTATCTTGCAATCGCAAGATCACAAATCAGATTTTACATTACAAATGTGATAAAATGTGCCTGATTGTAATACAAACGCTTATTGTAACATTATGGTGCTTTATACACAATTTATGTAATATTCTTGTTTTGTAAATTATGAACATATGAAGAGAGAGAGTTCAGCACACTAAAATTATATCTTACTATTATAGGGTAAATAGTATATATATATATATATATATATATATATATATATGCACAATACATGTATATATATTGCACAATATATATGTGTATATATATATATATATATATATATATATATATATATATATATATATATTGTGCAATAATTATATAATGCAAAAATTACATATATGCATCAATATATATAAATTACGTGTTCTAACGAATGAACGTGCTACCTCTCATGTACCTTGTATGCATAGTCATAATGATTTGAATGATTGGAATCTTTTATTTTATTAACATTTCTAGAAAATTTCTCGCCATTGTAGCCATGTTAGATCATGACATTCAAAACAAAAATCATTCTTTTAGTAATATGTATATATATATATATATATATATATATATATATATATATACAAAAATCATTCTTTTAGTAATATGTACTGATGTCATGATCTGATAAAATATATAAAAAATAATTGATTATATATATATATATATATATATATATATATATATAATCAATTAGTTTTTACATATTTTATCAGTTTCTTCAATTCAGCAAAAAAATGTGTGACTATTAAATTACATATAATTTACTTTGATATAGATTTAAAAAAAAGATTTACGTAATTTCTTTAACTTTTAGTTTCTCCCGTTTTATTTTGTAATGTAACGCGACTATAATGAGAAATCAGGAGAATTCCTGTTAAAAATTAAGAAAAAAACTTGAAAAGTAAATTATTATTGGAAACATATAGTATGTCACCAAGAGAGAAGAATTAAAAAAACGAATATACAATTTCAGGAATATACGTATATTTAAAAAAAATCTTGTATCTCTTTAAGGAATAATAGCATATGTTTATTTCAATGCTTTCTAATTATTATACATGTAAAATCATAATCAAGTTTTTATACTTTTATAAAAGTTTGCAAAGAAATTGCACCACCATATTTGTTTAAATGGATGCAAATAAACAAATAAAAAATAAATGAGTGACATAAATTATTTATTCCTTAATATAACACATATAAATCTTAATTTATTAAAAAAAATATCACCTAAAACATCAAACAAAATATTAAAAATATTACCATCTATTAAAATTATTTGTATATATATATATATATATATATATATATATATATATGTTGATTTTTAAATTAAAACTTAGAATTTAAATTTTCGCGTGAATTGACTTCAGCAATTTTATTTAAAAATATATGAGCGTCTTGATAATATGGACTTGTTGCTTCGATAACTTTATCCATCCAAGCAGTCAGACGTGGTCTTCCTTTTTTCGGATCGTAACCAGCCATACCTAAAATTGTAAGCAAGATACAGTGATTCATAATGCCTGGAGGAAGGGGAAGCAAAAAATTTATATAGCTTACGTGGTTGCTCCAGTTCGCAAGCACAGAATATGTCAGCCACACTGATTGTGTTTCCAATTAAGAATTGCGTATCTTTTAGCCATATATTCTCGATAATATCAAGACAATTACTCATGCGACTTTCAAATTCAGCCACTTTTTCTGGCTTTGCTGGTCTGTTTTGCATAAGTGGATTAAGAAACTAAAATATAAAGTAAAAATAATCTATAAATGTATTCTTTTTATGCAGCAGATGAAGAAAGTATATAAAAGTAATAATGTATTACCTTCGTTATGAAATATGATGAACAATGAAGTCTTGTATTGAGATGTTGCCATTCGAGATATTCATCAACTTTTGCTTGATGTTTTGAATTAGATGGATACCAGTAATCATCTACCTTAAATTCTCTGCATATGTATCGTATAATCCCTATACTATATAGAACAATATTAAAAATAATTAAAATCAAAATATTTACTATTTTTATTTTTTATACAGGGTCCCATTTTATTTTTGTCAGTCAAATATCTTGATATTATTTAGAGTTAGAAAAAAATGTTTCAGATAAAAGTTATATGGCTTGAAGGGGGTCATAAGACGGTGTCATTGATTTGATCTTAGAAAGTCGTTTGAAGATCATGTGAAGGTCACCTTCAATTTTTTAAACGGAACCCCCTATTTTTTATTACTTATTTTTGTAGCTTATCTCGAGAGATAAACTTTCCAAAACACTATAATAAAGTATTTCTTCATTGAGTATTTTTCGAGTTATGAGGCTTGAAATAATTTCTTAATTTTACATAAATTATCTAGTAAACCATAAAATATCTAGTAAAATATTTTTCGATTAGCTTACCTTAATACCCTAACAACGCACATATCCAAAAGACATCCATAGAGGACAACCAAAGGACCCAATAAGCAAAATGTAAGCAGTATGTCGACAGATTGGCAACAGATTTGATCAAACCATGTCAGCAGAATGACATCTACTGCGTCCTCATTCTGCTTCTAATCTGCTAGCAGAACCTGCTCACAGAATCGGATATCAGATTGTCGGCAGAAACTGAGCAGGATCTGCTATCAATGCTAACATGACTTGGTGTCAGACTGTTAGCAGAAATCGAACAGGATTTGCGCGTGCAATTTGATGTTAGATTGTCCGCAGAAACCGAACAGAATCTGCGGATGGCAAATGGACAGCAGAAATTTCACAAGATTTGCACTTTTATTAATATTATATAAATGCAACAAAATTGATTATTACAGATGCTAAATAACAATATTATCAGCAAGTTAATTAGAATTTTCTTATAGAAAATACATAAAAATGACATATATGTAATATGTTATATCATAGTTATATTTCATATAGCGAAGGACTAATTTCAATTCTATTTAATTAAATTAATAATAAAGTAAATGTAACTTGTAAAACTTGAGATGTAATTTATTTAGAATTAAATTCTTGCTTTATGCCTCAAATAGCCAGTGCATGAATAATTTTCCATATATTATATTGATTCCAATCAGTTTAATATTCTGAATTCTGACTCTCATTTGCTTGTATCAGATATCAGAAATTAAAGTGAAAAATTAAAATGATAATTACTATATTTTTAGTCTTTTATTCATATTCGTGACTTTATATATATTTCTGACAGAAATTCAATTACGAGAAAGTACAGCTCACGTAGTGGTAAGTGAAAGAACTATCGAATCATGCAAATCCTATTCCATTTCTGCCATCAATCTGCTATCAGAGATTGTATGCGCAGATCCTGTTCGATTTTTGCCGACAATCTGTTGTCAAATTGCATCGCACAGATCCTGTTCAATTTCTGCCACCAATCTGCCACTAAGTTATGCCGGCAGAATCTGTTCGATTTTTGCTGCCAATCTGGTAACTGATTATGTTAACAAGCTTTGTTATATTTCTGTTGACATTCTGGCGACATCACATGATATATCAGAACCTGCATCGATTCTGTAATCTTTCTGTCGACAATAATTTCTAACAGATTCCCTGACAAGATCTGCTTTAGCAGACTTGGCTATTGGGGGATATTTTATATTTGGATTGTCCTCTCGGATGACCTCTGGACATCTTTTGGACATGTGTGTTGTTAGGGTATTTTTATATATACAAAATAATAAGAGGAATCAATTGGTGTAAAGAAAAAACATAGTTCTGTTTTAAAAAAATATGTAATTGTTAATTACAAATTAAACCAATGACACCATCTTAGGCCCCCTTCAAGCCATACAACTTTTGTCTGAAACTGTTTTTCTAACTCTAAACATCGAGATATTTGACTGACAAAAATAAAATGGGACACCCTGTATATTTATATATTTATTAGTTTTTGTAGAAAAAAATAATACCTTTCAGTAAGTTTGAAACCATTATGTTCTATAACAGGGACTTTCTTGAATGGATTAATCTGTTCAAACTCTGGAGTATACTGCTCGAGATTCTTTAAGTTTATAATCTTCTGTTCAAATGGTATATCACATATTTTAAGAAATATGTATAGTACTCTCGATGGTTGTGAGAGTAAATCATAATATAACTTTAAAGTCATGTTTTAGCAAAAAAATTAATATTTTTTCTAAAAAAAGAAGAAAAATAAAAATAAGAAAATCGCTCGTTTCTTAATTATCATGTTGAAAAATAAGAAAAATTAAATGAAATACATTTACATTTTTTTATTTGGAGTTTTAATATAATTATTATACTGGTGCGTGTGTGCATTTTGACATATGTGAATGCATGCGTGTGTGTCTATATTCATGTATACAGGGTGTCAGGAAAATTTTCGCGATTACGAAGTAAGGAGGTAGATTGGCTCAAATTAAGAAGGAAGGACTTCTACTGTTTTGTGATATTTGCAATAATTAACGAAAAATTAAATAAAAAAGATCGGCCAATCTGCATGAGTAGAAGCGCGCGGCGAAGTGGTGGGCGGATCGCTCTCCGAGACATGATGGTAGCATGCGATATATATCGCAATACCGCGCCGAAAAATGACTCGTTCTTTTAGTGGCAAGAAAATGATGCGCTATTATTTCCACACCTTGCGGAGATAACATGATGTGCTTTTTTTATAGTGATTTCCTCCATAGACCTATTCCCAATCACCGCTTTGTCACGCATTATGTTACAGTAAGACTGCCTTTGTCGCCACGTTTCTAGCCACGTGCATTGGCTGATCTTCTTTATTTAATTTTTCATTAATTATTGCGAATATCGCAAAACAGTAGAGGACCTTCCTTCTTAATTTGAACCAGTCTATCTTCACACTTCGGGATCGCAAAAAGTTATCAGCCAACCTGTATACACGATAAATCATTTATAATATATCGCTTTAAAAAACTTAAAAAATATGCATCAAAAGAAAAATATTTCAAAAATTGTTTGGTTGCGGATAAAAATATTTTATTTTGATAAATTGACTTTGATAGTAATACAAGTTATACGGGCCATCAAAATAAGAATAATGAAACACCGAGTCATTCAATTTTAATGTAATTTTAGACGGCACGCTTTTAATATAATTGACTCCGATTATGTAAAGCCTTTGTTATTTTTAATCATTATATTTGTGCTGAAGATGACCCAAAAATAATGTCAAAACGTTCGCAAACTTTTCACAATTGTATCATATTTATATGTTTTTATACAATAATAAATTAATTACTAAATTAATTAATTAATGTGTAATAAGCTCGACACTTGACTTGCATTGACATCAAGCCCAATTTATATGTTTATTTTATCTTGAATACAATTTTAAGATTATCTGAAAGTTACCTTTAATTTTAAAAATAGAAATTTCATATTTTTTTTATATTTTCATATTTAGTCAAAATTAAAACTTTTTCTCTCTTGCTATTTTTTTAAAATCTTATATACAATTTTAAAGATACACTCGTCAACAAAATTATCGCATAGATAGTTTCATGTCACATTTTCGCATAATCAAATTTTCAAATAAGTGTAACTCCGTCAAAAATGGTCGTATTTGAAAAATTTTTTTTTCATTTTCAAGCTTATCTATTTTAAAAATCAGTCAGATTTAGAATATATCCTCCCCCTTCCTTGTCATCTCCTTAAAAATAAGGACGTGTTTCATATACACACATACACACATACGCACATACACGATGCGCCAAATCTGACCAGCAACATCATCGTGGTGCGCATCAGGAAATGCTAATGTTGGCGGTAGTAAATAAACAAAATGTATAGATAACTTTGATGTGTCGTAATTCCACCAAAAAAGAATCGTACAAACTTTATTTTTTTTTAATTTACATAAAAGTCCATATTTTACGATGATTATCATGAAATTTGCGAAAAAAATTTATTTCACCCCATGGAATGCGTCAAATTATTTGGAAACAAAACACATCCTCACTTTTAAGGAGATGACGAGAGAGGAGGAGAATAAATCTGACAAATGATTTTTAAAATAGAAGCTTTAAGCTTAAGAATAAAAAAAAGTTTTTTTAAATACGACCATTTTTGACAGAGTTATATACTTATTTGAAGTTATGCGAAAATTTGACATAAAATTGCCTATGCGATTTGTTAACGAGTGTATTTCAAATTTAATAAAGCCAATCTTTTTCATACAGCACAAAAGCTTACAGCAATATTGCTACAATGTATTGTTGCAACATTGCATATTGCAGTGTAATATTGCCAAAATATTACGAAAACATTATTTTAGAATATTATTTCAGCAATATTTTAAAATATTGTTAAAATAGTAAATATATATGTCTAACACATATTACTGAATTTCGGACCGATATTTATACTGTCAATGGTGAACATTTATGTTACATACATCGATTTTTAACATAATATATAATATAGTATATAATAAACAGTGTTTCACAATCTCTATTTTAAAAGCTTCTACTTTAAAAGCATATTCTAGAGATAAAATAGAGTAAAGAAATTTTAAAGAAAATGTTGAGGCTACAATAGTTTTTGATAAACAAAGTTTACCAATGTTATCGCATAAAATTCGCACATTCAAATCTGTGACTACATTTACGCGTACGATTTACCATCTGTTATTGATTTTTTCATGTCAGATAATATTGATTTTTTACTGTACAGCTGATTTATTTTATTTTATAATGATATTATATATAATAGATTAATTTCTATAAATATTTCTTTGATTAAAAAAAATGTATAAATAAATATAATCTCATTTTTCAAATATGTAAAAAAACATTAGGTTTTATAATTCTATTTAAATGTAATAATTAATCAAATATTCAAATTTTTATTTAATAAATAATTAAATGTTTTCTATATATTATTATTCACAATCTGTTAATATTAATTAATTAAATTCATATATTTAATAAGCACACATAAGAAACAAAAAAATAAAATCAGCTACTCACAATTACAGACTACTCACAATCAGTAAAAATCAATATCACATGATATAAAAAAATCAGTAATATATATATATATATATAGATTACAGTGGTATAATTACAGGCTTTAACGCGTGAATTCTGTGCAATATCATTGGCAAAACTTTGATTGCTTATAAATCAAAAATTATTGCAGCCTCAACATTTTCGTATTAGAAATTTTTACTTTATTTTATTTGTAGAATTAATTTTATATTTTATGCTATTAAAGTATTATACAAAGATTATAACACTTTATATAAATCAGTATAATATATAGTATATAATATATAGCTTTAAATTATAAAATTATATTATTCTAAAATTTTGAGAGGCAATTTTATGTGTTAAAAATAAATATGTATTAATTTAATAAATATGTATTAATTTTATGTGTTAAAAATAAATATGTGTGGATTCTGATGATATTAAATTTAAAAAAATAATAAAAAAATAAACTTATAAGCAGAGTCCGTATCTTGGTGCCGGTTTCCCCATTTCAAATGCATGCTAGTGGCCGAGCGCCGCGAAAAGCAATACTGTCTATGCCGGTCTAATGATGGTAGCAAAGTGGGCACCATCACGTAGAAAAAGAAAATAATTTATTATAAAAAGAAAATAATTTATAATAATTTATTATATTATTTTATATTTTATATTATATATATATATATATATATATATATATAATTTTATTATATTATTTTATATATTATGTATATCAAATAAATATATATTCTATGTTAATATATATATATATTTTTTCTATGCAACGATGCTCCCTTTGCTACCATTACTAGACCGGCATAGACGATATTGCTTTTCGCGGCGCGTGGCCTCTAGCCTCTAGCATTCACTTGAAGTGGAGAAAACGACATCAAGATCCAGACTCTACTTATAAGTACCAGGCGCAGGATCTAGTGTGTGCACATATTTTCTGTATAATAATAATAATGAAATTACAAAATTCAAATGTTTTCGTCATATGTTCAACTAATTTCAATAAATAATTAACATTTTTCTATCATTAAAGAAAATCGAAAGTGCAACCGAGAAGTTTTCTAATAAGGAATGATAGGTCGAAAAAACGGCTATTAGACGTCTATCCTGTCCATGATTGAAATTAGTAAACGATTAAATTCAACTAGTCGAAAATTTTGTTTTTATTTATTACATGAGGACATATTTTTCGTGAATTTGTATATTATAAAACAATTTAAGAACAAATATAATAATTATGACAGATTGGAAAGTAATTATTAAACATTTACGTATATAATGTTTTATATATACTATATGATCTTTCGTTTGCCGCTACGCGGTAACATCAAATTTCGCTAACTCGTGTTCAATTTTCCATTATGAATATAATAAAAATCTATGAAGGACGAAAATCCAAACTACTATATATGTATCTTTTTTTGTCAATTTAATTTCTATAACTAATTTAATGGTCAATAATTTAATATTCTGAATCTTGTGTTGGGGTCCCAACAAAATATTAAACAGATTATTTAAAATTGCTATCTAGATATATAATATAATTATATCAAATATATTATTTTTAAAACTATATAAAATAGCATAATTTGTAAAAAAAAACGATATCATATTCTTTATAATTTTAATATAAATCAAACAAAATCTATCGTTAACAAACTTGATTATCTGGATAGAAACATGACTTTGCAATAATTAATGCTAAAAGCGTAGAATATATGTCTTAAGAATATGGAATCTTGATCCCGATAAACAAGACTAATAATATATTAAGTCTCTAATAATGTATTAAATTTTTACATATCTTATATAATTCTACATATATTTATATACTTACGATACAACACAAATGAAACAGATTTTTATGAAAGTACAGTTTTAAATAAGTGAAAGTGACGAGATCAACACAGTCAACCAAAATAGAGCGAAGAGTTTATCCTAACTTTACCCAAGTCATCATATATGCAATAAATCACATCGGAATATAGATGGTCATTGATATATAGTACTTAGAGACCCTCCAATCAGAGTCACGAAATAACGTCTCCAATTTTGATTGGTGCCGCCATATTTGCCGCCATGTTTCTACTAAATAGTTTAAAATTTCAAACATGCCTGGTTGTTCCGCTTTAAATTGTAATAATTCCACTGAAAAAGAATACGTAATGAAAGTTTTTCTACGCGATAAAGAACGAAGAACAAAATGGGCAGCAAATGTGAAACGAAAAAATTGGAATCCAACCAATACTTCATTTCTCTGCGAAGTTATTTTTTGACGTTAATCATCTTATCTAAGTTATTTGAATAAAATAATGTATACTTATTTAATTTAATGTACATACACTTAATTATAAATTATATATATATATATATATATATATATATATATATATAATTTTTTATATCGTATAGGTACATCTCATACAGCACAGAAAGGTTGCAAATATATTGCAGAATAATTTCATTGAAACATTGCAATATTGCAAATTGGTTGCGAAACTTTGTTGCAACATTGCTGTAAAGTTGCGGCAACGTTAAGATGTCCGCTTTTTGTAATATTACAACGAACTGTCGCAGCAATATTGCAATGTAATATATTTGAAAAAAATGCAACGTTGCTGTAATCGTGTAATAATATTGTATATAAAACATTTTTTCGAAATCATTCTTGATATATGACGCTTGGAAGTTTATAGAAAATATATAAAATAAAAAAAATCTTGATATAAATAAAAATTTGTAATGATTGTATTCAAGATAATATATTGTAAAGTCATATTTAAATATGTATATATATATATTTTATTATATCTAAATATATATACTTACAATTAGATATGACTTTACAATATCTTATCTTGAATATAATCATTACAAACTTTTATTTATATCAAGATTTTTTATTTTATATGTTTTTATAAACTTTCAAGATTCATCTATCAACATTGGTCGTATCGTAACGTCGCAAGTCGTAGGCAAATTGACCAACCATAGTCGATTATTTCAAAAATAATCAACCATAATTGGTCAATTTGCCTACGACTCACTTGTGACGTTACGATACGACCAATGTAGATCCGGCTAAAGGCCATTCTACAATGGCCGTAGCATAAGGTTGTAAGGCGTAAGACTCAAAAAATTGATCAATCACAATCGAGTATTCTCTTAATACTTGACTATGATTGGTCAATTTCTTGAGTCTTAAGGCTTTCGCACATGAATTGCCATAACCATAAATGTAAACGTAAGCTGAAGAACCAATTAGAATATTGCTTCAGCTTTATGTATCCTAGAAGAAATGATGATAAAGTTGGCCGTAAGCAGAAGTAACTATTTCAACCAGTTAAAATCTTAGGTACTTCTGCTTACGGCCAACTTTATCATCATTTCTATTAGAGAGAAGTGAGAGATGTCATGGCCTGCTCTTAGGTGATCTCTGAAAGCGATACTCTCTCTATGGACATTGAAAATGTGGACATAAACTACAAAGCCAAAGTCCATAAATGTTCTCAGAGGGTAATATACAATGTGCACAATTTCTGGTTTCGTTCCGTGCTATGTGCACAAAATGTCGGTAGCATCAGTGCTGTATAACAAGATATTTTTATGTAAATTGATAGTAAATAAATTATTCAATCGCGAAAGATACTGTAATATTCAAAGATGAAATAAATATTTTTCTATATTTATTGTCATATTTATATCGTCTTATTTACAAAACACAAAATGCTTGCTGTGCGATAAATATTTCTAATCGTATATCTATAATTTATCTTGTTAATTAAAAAAAAAAAAAAAAAAAAAATTATAATATCTGATCAATCTTGTTACCGTATCACGTCAAGTTTAAGGTCATTTCAAGGTCAAATTGCGAAAAAATCACATGCGTAAAAGAACAATGTGTATGTTTATATTTTTGGGGTCGCTGAATTCGAATCCGTAGTCCGTTTGGTCCGACAAGGTTCAGATCAAGGTCAGTTCAAGGTCAAATGTGTTAATTTTGCTTAAAATGAATTTTTGACTGCAGATTCTGAAAGAACGGAAATTTTACGTTCACATATGTATTTTAATTTTTTTTTTGTATCATAACATATCAAGACAAACAGCCACAACACTTATGATCTTTTGCTTTTCTCACTCTTTTGTCTTCAAATGATCTGTGTAGTGGATTTCGCTTCTCTTCTTTCCATCCACAGTACTTTCTCTTTTCATCATAGGAAATAAGTTAAGTTACTACTCGGGAAGTGTTCCAAGTGTAAGTTTGGTAGTCGACCACCAGATGGCTACCACTAAAATCATAAAAACTGCAAGTAAATCGGCATACCTCAGAGATAAATTCGGTAGATATGAAGACTTTACTTTGCCGTCATGGTAGCACACAGAAATCGTTACGATACTCGGGTTCTGAATCCCTGCATCGTAACCGATTTCTGTGTGCCTACCATGACGGCAAAGTAAGTCTTCATATCTGCCGAATTTATCTCTGAGGTACGCCGATTTACTTGCAGTTTTTATGATTTTAGTGGTAGCCATCTGATGGTCGACTACCAAACTTACACTTGGAACACTTCCCGAGTAGCTTAACTTATTTCCTATGATAAAAAGAGAAAGTACTGTGGATGGAAAAAGAGAAAGCGAAATCCACTACACAGATCATTTGAAGACAAAAGAGTGAGAAAAAGCAAAAGATCATAAGTGTTGTGGCTGTTGTCTTGATATGTTATGATACAAAAAAAAATTAAAATACATATGTAAACGTAAAATTTTCCGTTCTTTCAGAATCTGCAGTCAAAATTCATTTTAAGCAAAATTAACACATTTGATATCTAGTTATAAAACTGATCTTTGATATCTATCAATCATTTTTTTTAATTATTTAAAAAATCTAATTATTAATATATGAATAGAATTTGTCAAATTAATCACTGATTCTTCTGAAGTTTTTTTAAGACTCGAAAAATATAGATGTTGCAATATATTTTAAGTCTCTTCCTTTATATAAAATATAAAGAATTCATATGCTAACACTATTTATATTTTTATATTTTTATTATAATTTTCATACCAGCATAATACTTTTGTGCTTAATACTTTATATAATACAATGTACTAAATTATAAAATTTAATATAATTACAAAATAGTATTACTATTAATAAATAGGTTGTATGCATACTGTCTTTTACTTTCTAATCATTTTCAATCACTATGCATTTCTATCTAATATGTTCTTTTCTTCGAGTTCTTGGATTATTATGGTTTATTGTATTCTGCTGTGTTAATATCACAAAAATTACCATCACTTATCATGCTTATTCCTATGGAGTCCATCGGAATATTTTCTATGGACATATGTTCTCGGGTATAGATATTTTATAATATAAAATTTACTAAAAATTTTTACAAAGTCCAGACAAGATTAGTGATGATTAATCCCTAAGATTATTGGAATTTTAATATATTTTCTTTAGCATTAAAGGAATATTTAAAAAATTTTAATGATCACCCAATAGCCTTAACAATCTTCTTTTTTTTACGTAAGGAAAATGCTCCTTATGCACACCCCGGCGGGACCGCTAAATAGGTCCCGCCGGGGTAGTATTGAGCTCTCGCATACATAAAATTTCGCAAAAAAATCATCTTACTATAAAAATTATTGAGTGTTAACAATTTAATTTTCATTCTAATAAAACACTCAAAAAATATTGACCCCTTGAAAACCCCCTTAAAAACCTCTTGTTAATATTAATAATATAATTATTGAAATATTTTTTAATCTGTCCCTAATATTATTTAAACCTAATCTACATTTTCTGATTCTTTAAAAGATACATAATATATTAATCACCTAAATTAATCACATAATAGCCCTAACAATCCTCTACTTCTTGAAGGGAAAATTAATAAATCTTCATGAACACCTAATAGTCCTAATAATTCTATTTCTCGATTAAGTAAAATTATTCGAGAAAAGCCTATCTCTAATCACGTATATTTTAATCTCTAATCACGTATATTTTAATTACATGCCCTAATTACATTCTCTAACTGCGTGCCCTAACCGCGTGAATAAATGTCCGACATTACATACTATTGTACGTAAAGCTTTTCTTCAGGCCAGTTGAACTTACTTTTCGTTGATCCTGGCCACTTTCTCACTCGATCTCTAATCAGAGATCGAAAAAGGAGATAAACACTCTTTCTTTTGACAATTAATTAATGGCAAATGAGCGTAAATATTTCACGCTCATCGTAACGATCGCTCGATTTTACGATCGTTCGTTAAATATTTGAATATAATTTTATTTTAACTCAAAGCCAAATTACTACAAATTTCTGTATATTATATTTTCTAATAAAATATAAAACTCATGTATGTGTATAACTTTTATCATATTACAAATTATTTAATTAATTTATCATTTGGCATTATATTAAGTTAAAATAAAGTTTAAAAACAATATCTACAAACAAATTCTACGATGAGCTATAAAATTACAATAAAATAAGTGCACATTATGGAAATAAAGTAGCATAAAAAATTGATAAAATTGATAAAATTATATATTAATGCGTGCTCTTTATTTAATAAATTAAACAAGATCTTTACAAAATATTTTCTTTTCTTGAAATATTCTCTTTTTTTAATTAATACATCAATATATTTTCACAATAGATGCAAAGCATTTCGAAAGAATTTATTAAAAGTTATTTAATTTAAATAATCCTAGCTCATTCATTTTAAGGCAAACGGATTACTACAATCTACAATCTACATCTACAATCTCTACGAATTCGTTACCTTAAAGTTAAATAAAAGTTTTTCTCACTCATCGGCACTGATGCGCAACAGCGGAGTTATCGAAGCTACGTTGTCTGTAACATACAAATATAAAATTTATTTATAACAATGTTCACAAAATACAATCAATATTTCAAAAAA